CGATACAAGTCAAAGTGGCACCACACTACTCGATTTCTACCATCCCATACTCGGCTAACAGTATTCCCACCGATGCAAGTCAAAACAATAACACATTACTCGGCTTCTAATATCCTATGCTCGGCTAGCAGTGTTCCCACCGATGCAAATCAAAGCGACGCCATACTACTCGACTTCTGATAGCCCATGCTCGGCCGATGCAAGTCAAAGCGGCACCACACAACTCGCTTCTAACATCCCATGTTCGGCTAACAATATTCCCACCGATACAAATCAAAGCGGCACCACGCTACTCGGCTTCTGACATCCCATGCTCGGATAGCAGTGTTCCCATCGACGCAAGTCAAGGCACGCAAGTCATAGCGGCGCCACTCTATTCGCTTCTGACATCCCATGCTCGGCTAGCAGTGTTCCCACCGACGCAAATCAAAGTGGCACCACGCTACTCGGCTTCTGACATCCCATGCTCGCCTAGCAATGTTCCCACCGATGCAAGTCAAAACGGCAGCAGACTATTCGGCTTCTGACATCCCATGCTCGGCTAGCAATATTCCCACCGATGCAAGTCAAAGCGGCACCACGCTACTCGGCTTCTGACCTCCCATGCTCGGCTAACAATAGCTCGGCTAGCAGTGTTCCCACCGATGCAAGTCAAAGCGGCGCCACGCTACTCGGCTTCTGATATCCCATGCTCGGCTAGAGTGTTCCCACCGTGACACGTCCAAGCGGCACCACGCTGCTCGGCTTCTGACATCCCATGTTCGGCTAGCAGTGATCCCACCGATGCAAGTCAAAGCGGTACCCCCGCTACACGGCTTCTGACATCCCATGCTCGGCTAGCAGTGCTCCCACCGATGCAAATCAAAGCGGCACCACGCTACTCGGCTTCTGACATCCCATGCTCGGCTAGCAGTGTTCCCACCGTGACACGTCCGGGCCGGGAAGCGTTGCCCCGATCTCGGGGTCCAGCTGGACGGCGAGCAGCGTAAAAATCAGATACGACCTGGCTAACACGCAAGCCCGAGACAAAATGGGCGGCGTGGATTCTGCAAATATCTTGCAATCGTAGGGAAGGTTCATATTCAGAAGATCCAGAGATTCAGTGCTCTGAGCCCTTGCGGATAAAGCCAAGATGCCTGCTGCCATGTTTCAGCTACACTTGCACGACGTGTTGCGAGCTTGAAAGCAAAAGCCACGCTAGAATCATGCCCTACGCTTCGTGCCTTCGGCCATGGGCAGCGAAAGCTAACACCTGAAAAGAGATCCCTGAATGCATTCCGCTGCAATAGCCCATGCCTCTAACGTCGACCTCACAAAGCTAATCGGAAGGGACCTGCTGGCACGCGCGAGGTGGGAAGTGTAAGTTCCGTACGCCTTCACGCGGATCCATTCGGCTCCATGCGGCTTCAGTGGGTTTGGGGGTAAGCCCGTCCTCAATGCATCCCCGAGTTGTGTTGCGTTTGCCCGTGACATGCGCTCTAATGCCCCGAGCTGTGCTCCGCTTAACCGCGACATACGTTCTAATTCATGCAGCAAGAATACGGGCATCTAAGATAAGAAGGCTGCATCCGTTTCCTAAATTTCCTGAAAATTTTGGGTGTGTAAATTTTCGGGAAATTTAGGAAAGCGATGAAGCAAATTTTCCGGAAATTTAGGGACCAGAAATTTTCCAGAAATTTAGGGGAACGAATCCGGCTTGCGGCCGTTGAAGAGGCCTAGCCTTTCAAAGGGCACAGCCCAGGCCCCAAAATTTCCCGGAAATCTCGCCGGGGTCCAGAAATTTCCAGAAAATTTTGGGGCTGGGGCGCTCCGGGACGTGACGCACCGCATAGGGCTTGTTTGACCGTAGCGTTTTATAGAGTAGATATATTAATCACGATGTACCCAGAAAAACAAAAATATAATTCCCCATTGATGTTTCTCTTGCATCGTCTCGATTCGTAGAATACGATTATGGAGTCCCCTCACATTTCAACAATGAAAGCGATCTAAATCCCAACTCTCAGGGGCAATAAATTATGTTGAGGAAGCTCGGGTGGTTGCCGGACGCCGGAGCTGGTTTAGTGGAGGTCGGATCCAGGATATTCTAGATTGCTATGAATTCTGACAGCAATAGAACTTATGTATGGAGAAGGGAACGACAAATACGGGACAAGTAAGTGAATCCGAGCTGAATTTCTAATCATCTCGTCATCCTCTATGGCTACTGCTTCTACTTCTGCAACTGAACTCCTTTTCTGCAGTTGAAACTCTTATCGGTGCCATACTGGGTATCTAAGCACCACAAATCGATTCAGTAGGGCCAGGTCGACCCCGGACCAAACAGCATCATCTCCTTCTTCCTTATGCTTTGAATTGCGACCTTCGGGGTGCAAGAGTTCTGGACATCAGTAATAGCCTTAGGCTCCGCAGTCGGGGCCTAGGAATGTTCGGGTTACCCAAATCGCTCTGCCATTGGACTGGTTGAAATTTCATCTCTCAGCCCTCTTACCCAACAGTGGAAGAGTTGATGCCGTTGCTTGGCCAGGGCTTGCTTTGGGATGTTTCTGCATCCGACCCTGGCCAACGCCCATCTAGAACCGAATATGGCTGTGATTCTAAAGAACCACTACAAAACCCAAATTGAGACCGTCTTTATCTTGGGTTGGGCTGATGCCGACATGTGAGCTTGAGTCTCCAAATTCGTAGGCGTCCACTTGGTTCCGTGCAATTTTCCGGAACCCTTTCTGATCGGCCCGCTTGCATCTCGGGAAGCCATGCCCTGATGCCCGCTTTGCTATGTTGCCGTTGTGCTATTCATGCAATTCTTGCTGTTCTATTGCCTTGCTGCTTTTGTTAGCTGGTGTGCTGCTTTCCAATTCACTGCCATCGCGCCACGACAGCGCAGTGCCGCAAGGCCGCAAGTGCCGAGAGCGTGGTTCACACATGCTGAACGAACCATGTCCAGCCCAAATGTCGGACTCCTAGCATGTGTATCTCGACACCCTACAGCACCCCTGCATGTTGCACTATGCTGCACCTCTGCATCTCAAACAAGGGGCCCGTGGCGTCTGGGACCGTTCGCACTGCAAACATCCAACCCACACAATTTGCATCGAAATCTGAATGGCTGACCCTGAAACACTGAAAGCTTACTCCCTTCTCACAAACCATGCAACAAATCAAAGGGTCCCAGCTCTGCAGACGGAGTGCCCCAAGTTCATAGTTTGTGCAGGTAGAAGAAAATCTAGTTCGTGGGATCCCGAACCGCTAGAATCGCAAACCTTCACCGTGAAACCCTAAACCCTGAGCTGCAACTTCCAGCCTCTACGTCCGCATGATGGATGCACATTGCCTCCCCAGCATCACCGATCAGGACTCCGTCGTGATCGTCCTCGCGAAGGCTCGGCGGTCAAACCCGATCCCCTTAGGATTGAAGTTGCTTTTTCAAGGGGGGTCCTATACTACCAGGAACATCAAAACCCACATGCAGGGTTGCTGTTCACAACAACTCTCCACTCAGCTCGATCAATAGTTCGATCCCTAAGCCCTAAGTGGCAAAGCCTCATTGGCCTCGATGCCACTTCTTTGAACACCAAAAAAATCCAACCCAAGCCCTAAGAAGGCCCCGGAAGCAGAACCCCCCGCCAAAAACAAAAACTGCACCATCAACCCGTGTCCAGCTCATCATCTGGATCCCACAAGTCTTCTGCCATATGGGTTTCAGACTAATGGCCTGGAAATCAATCTCGGGCCTGGAAGAAGCTGCAGCCAGGAAGGACGCACACTTCAAGGGCTGGGAACTATCCTCAGTTTAGGGGACAGCATGTGCCTAGTGGCTTGCTGAAGTACGAGTGTAGCATTCCCAAACCATTTTGTTTTCTGCAGGTTTCACCAGGTCACTGCATGCTTTTTTCATGTTCCTTCCAACAAGAACTTCAGACTCATTCTGAGGTCAACTTAGGTCCTTAAGGTTCTCCTGATTCCCTCACTCAACAAACGGAACCTTGTTGAGCCTTGTGACCCCAAAGCTCCAAAGCAAACTCCCCATGAAAAACAGGCTAGCTCTGGGACTCTTCTATGAATTGAGGGGTGCAGGGTACGAGACCTCAAGTTGACCCAACATGCTTTTGAGCTTTTTTGCACATGAGGGTCTCCCACTTCACAAGCTTGGTCATATCCCTTTCAGGATGCAAGCAAGGTGCAGAGGTGCTCTCCGACTGCCGTGAGAAACTGCGCAAAGGTGCGCGCAAAGGGCCGTGCAGCGAAGTTGTCGCTGCGACCCTACTTGCCCTACTTCGACCCGGTCTTGGACCGTCTTATGAGCACGTTAGCGGCTGCGACCACCACAAGGCCTCTTCAAGTCTGATTGTGAGCGGGATGGGCTCAGGGCAGACCCCTAAATAATATCCCATACCCACGTAGAGGGTCAGTGAGATGCCGCAGATGCTGGCGCCCAGCTGCATGACTGTCAGCGTTTCTGACAACCTTTGCGGACGTACTCCGTGCAGCCGTAGTGGCACCTGCCTCGCGTGAATCCCGCGACGGTCCTTGCACATAACTTGCTTGGGGTGCAAGGGATGCAGTGGCTCATATAGATGCGTCATGCTCTCACGCCATGGATCCAAAGGCAGCAGGCGAAGCAGCACCACAGCATCTTCCAACACCTCCGCCGCCACAACAACAAAGAAAAGGATCAAGGTGTGGTTGTTGAAGAGCGCTTCCGAGGCAGGACTACCGAGCCAACTGAGCCGGAAGATGACGTAGGAGGCAAAGAGAACGAAGCGGTGGTAGCCGCAGGAAACGCGCGCATGACGATGGATCATGCCATAGCATCCCAGACAGACCGACTTTTGGAGTTTCTGTGGCAGCACTGTGGTCCACAGAGTCAGTTGATATCCATGCCGAACGAACAGATTATTCACGAACAGGACCAGCACGCTGCCAAGCCAGTCCCAGCGCCATTCAGGGCTGCGTGCAGCAACGCTGATGAGGCTCACCAAGCGAGTGCCCTCACACAAGGAATGGGCCCAGTTAATCATCATGAGGACGGGCGGATGCTGATCGCCATAAACGATGCGCTTTTGATCTCCGGCACGTGGCCATACGAGCTTCATGTAAGCTCGCTCCATCAAGCTGACAGCAGCCAACTCGGAAGCAGTAGTGGACAAGCTAAGGAATGTCCCCGCCAGAATGTTGCTCGACCCTTCAAGGAACATGAAGCCTAGGATGATGGAATACTGGGCGAAGAGCAGGATAACATTCATCGAAAACATGAATGCGGTCCAAACAAGGTGCCTCCCGGTGTCCTGTGTTTGGGTTGCTCCAGAACTTGGATGCGACGTACGACAACCGCGAGCTATAACGAAGCCGCAGGCCAACTGTGCCAAACTCGAAATCTCGAAGGCAGATGCTTCGAAGACGAAAAACTGTGGGCGCGAGCCCCGAAAGAGCAGTATGAAGAAGAACTCGACCAAAGTCCACACGACGGCGCCAAAAAGTGTGGCTACAGTGGCAGCATGGAGCGGCTGCCGCCGTCCAAGAAGGGTATCGACGAGCAACTGCGTCCAAACGTGCCCGCCAACCGTCAAAGTGCGATTTGCCCACCACCATCCGTCAAAATCTTCTGCTTGGGCACTCCGCTCGCCTGTATAAAGAAGGCCGAAATTCATGGAGCCGAAGAAGAGATACGCCAGAATGCCAGCAAGATATGCTGGTCCACCAAAAGGAGTAAAAATCACTGGCTTTGCCTCTTCCTGCTGTACGCTGACGTTCACTTGCTGCACATACGCAGCTTCCTCATCAGCCCCTGAAGCATCCACAAAAAGCACAGCACCGGACAGCTGCCAACACAGGACATCGCCTTGCAGCACACGTATGCCCGCAACACGGTTCTGGCCGTCCAAAAGCAGCTCATAGCGACCGCCGTCAGGTAGAGCCACAATATCAGGGCCAGAACGCATGAAGCCATAGTCCCAACTGCCAAAGCGATGCCGCAACTGGCTCACCTCACGGCAGGCTTGGTCAAGTGCTGGTGGCTGCCATATGAACGTCTCTTCATCGAAGGATGCCAGGTCATGCTCATACACAGCCCCTTTCGGGGCTGGCTGATGTGAAAGTTGTGTCCAAAGAAGGCATGCCCGACCCCCTGCATCGAGCCGCCTTTGCAGCAAGAGCTCGGCTGCGGGTCCAGTCCCCACTATGATAAGGTTCACGTCGAGCAGTTTCCATGTCCCGTCCTCGCCTGGGGCACTCTCCCAAAATTTCATGAGTCTCACACGTGTTTTTGGGTATCTGCCTTAGGTCTGTGCATTAGGGAATGTTCTGCAGAAGTCCTTAAGGCTAATGTGGCTATACAGAGAATGTGGGGTGTTGATGTGCATGCCCTCTTCCTGCATCTGCTCCCAACTCCGAGAAGCTGTCGCAGGGCTCCTGGGACCTGACCCGGACGATGCCCTGTCCTGGACTGGCGCGGTGGTCAATCTGACATTTCGGCTGGACTGGTGCTGATTCCATCGTGATGTTTGCCTCGGCAACTCACCACAAGCACATAAAACATGTTGGGCCCTGGTAAGGGGGAATTAGCCAGCTGACCTAAAAACACTGGCAACTAATTCTCCAACTACGTACTAAGAAAAGCCGGAAACATCTTCGTGCGTGTCAAACCTTTGCTCTTGCTTCGTCATGCACGGGGACACCGTCTGCAAACATCTTCTCCGGGAATGAGGTATTGTCGACGGCTCTATCAGTGCCGCAGCAGGTTCGCATCCCACAGTTGAAGAAACTCACCTGACATTTGTCGGAGACGTCCTGGAAGCCTTAGCTGACTCTTGGGCACCTGGGAACTAATATTTAGATCTCTTCGTGTAAGCAACGAAAAAATCAAAAAGCTAAATCAGCTAAACTCCCAAGAGCATGCCCAAAAAACTCAAAACGTTCAACAACCCTGGCTCGGAAACTACAGACAGCCACGAAGCAAGGTACATCAATGCTGGTTGTATCCACCATGGCTCTGCATCTGCTATGAAGCCGTGCTGTCGGATCTGCGAAGGAGCAAGCTCTTTTTCCACGCAGCTTGAGATTATTATTGACTCTAGCACTATCAACATTGTTACCCTTTTCGGTCTTCGTGCACCGTGTAGATCGCAGGCAAACGCAATGTGATGATGACTATCTTGTGTACTTTGCTTATCATTCATACTTTGTCATCAGGACCCCGGAACGCCCCTCGCTCTGTGCAAAGTACCTGCAGCAAGCAAAGTATCTGGACTGTGCTTAGCACATCGCAGTCCGGTTGCTGTAGCAGCCGAAAAGCTCAACGAAAAGTTGCTGTGGTGTAGTATGGCATACTATACTACGCCAGACTGGACTGCAGTATACTATACTACAAAAAACTCTATCTATCGCACCTGTGAGGCCCGTGGGGCCTTCAGGGCATAACGTCTTCATTCAAGACTGCGACGCAGGGCGACAAGATTCTGCAGGCTTCGAGACTCGCGGAGTGTATGGGTTTCGGGGCTTCTGGGCCCAGCAACTTGCAGGTGTCACAGAGCCGACTCGGGCTGTTGGTGCAAGGCTTGCGAGGGCCAGATGTTTGGCCTTCACCCCGATTCTCCGAGGATAAGCTGAGATGGGGCCTGCCGGCCGGATCCTTTGCAAACGGACGTGCCGGATGAGCGATTTCCCGGAGCACATGGGTCACATTCTGCACTTCGTGACTTAACCAGCATCCGCAGAACGATCTGGGAAGACGCACGGGGGGCCGACTTTCCGGCGGCGCGCTTGCCTCGTTGACGCTTCCTGCAGCTGTTCGAGCTTAACTGGGCCATTTGCTGACCTGCTGTTTCTGCTTAAGAGTTTCGGGTTTAGGGTGCGAGAACTCCAAGTGGAGGAACTAATGATGACACTTTCGGACCTCCCCGAAAGTTCGGCAGGGACTGGCTTCTCAGGCATGCCTTCTGCACGTACTGCCTCGTGAAGACTCACTTACTTGTTCCTATTCTGAGCCATATGTATATCCTTACACCGTCAGCCACCCTGCTTCTTGCCGAAGACAGAATCCTACTGGGGATTTCGCAAGATAGCAGCCCTGTGCAACACATAAGCCTTGTTTCTGCAGTACCATTACTACGGTCCGCCGAGAAGCCCGAAGAGCTTTTGACAAATAGGCGCGAATACCGGGCTCCTCCGAAGAAGTAAGGAAAAACTGTGCGTCCCAAACGGCGAGGGGCATGCAAGCAGAAAACCTGTGCTTTGGCAGATCTTTCAGCAAGGCGACTAGTCCCCAATGGTGACACTCTTTTGATACACCTTTTTGCTACGCCTGGCCTCGCAGGACACCTGATGGCAGGTGCCCTCGAGCTGCAAATACAGAGACGGTCCGAACACACGAAAGCACAGTGCCGGAGGATTGGCCTTTGGCCAAGGGCACTGGTCGGAACGTCAGGGCTGTTGAGCTGCAAAAACGAACCCCTTGGACTCTGTAGACCTCACACTGCTCAACAATCCCGGAGGGCCGCAAAACTGCCGCAAAGACCTTGTGATGGTTGGAGTGGCACAAGCCGTGACTTTTGTTCCATGATGTTCTTTTTGGGGGATCAGACAATGAGGACCTTCAGGAGGCATCAGGTCTTCTTCGCCTGGATATACAATATACATGATGTGGCCTACAATCATCAGGCCATCCACAACCATCCGCAGCCGGCATCACGACCAATAACCTCTGCAATTCTCCCGAGAGACTGCACTACAAAGAGGCGCTTGTCGCCGAAGAACAAAGTACAAAACGCCACATAAGACACCAATGTTGTGGGAATCTTGAGGGCGTCTCAAGAATTGCGCCATGTGCTTGCACGATCAGCACGCAAGAGGCCTGTCCTCAGCTGCACATGAGCTAGCTGGTCGAACCTGCCTTGATCTGTTGAACTTAATGAACCCGAGTGGGCCTGCCGAGAGAAAGAGAGAGCCAGAGAGAGAGAGAGAGAGTAGCCCTTGAATTGGAAGTGCTGCCTACGACGCTCCAAATGTCAAGCTTGGCGTGTAGTGTGTAGCAGCTTGAAGCAAGAAGCAGGTTCCTACGGCGCCCTCAAACCCTAAACCCAAAACCCTTGACCCTGAAACCTAAACCCACGTTGCAAGGCGCAATGTTTTGCCGGGCTTCCCACGAGAAGAAGCTCCAGACTCTCTCGAAACCCTCGCAGGGCACCTTCTCGTGGCATTTGGGGGTCCGACAATCGGGGTACCTTATTGGGGTCCTTATTATATGGGGATCCTACTATCTGGAGGTTTATATTAGGGCCCCTCATTTTCGTAAACCCCCATTCATTCTCTGCAAAGGGCGCAGCCACCAGGTGCAATATCTGATAGAGCCATAATGATTAGTATAACGAACAACCAACACATTTCATGGTAGTACTCAATTCATATGGAATATGGTTATGTTCTTATATGATTATATATGATCAAAAAAAAGTAAATATACATAAACAAATACTGAGTTACTAAACTTGAATATTATTACATTAAGGCAAACCATGCGCGAAGCGAAAGGCTTGCCTTTTCGGGGCTGAAGAGGACACAGGAAACAATGCAACCCGTTGCCGCAAAACTGGGCTTCCATGAAACCCATATGGGCATTTGCAGAAAAAGGGGTACCCCTTCTATTCCCCAAGTAGAACAGAATCCCCCTTAAAAAGGGATCCCCGAAGTTCGTTGAAGGGTACCCGTATCAGTTCGGAAAGCCCATATAGCTTTTTAAAAGGCCCCCAACGCCGGCCCACCTCCTTAATCCCGCGGAGGTAGCCGGCTCCGAGCATCAGCGTCAGCAGGCTCGAGGTCAGCTCCGACACGATCTCGGGCGTTTACGAAATTAGGGGGTGCCATATTGGGGTCCTTGCTATCAGGGGATCCTACTGTTTTGAGATCTATATTAAGGGTCCCTTGTTTTCGTAAACCCGCATCTTGGCCCGAGTTTGAGGGCTTTAGCGGACAGCCAAATTTGTCGCAAGTCTGTGGGGACGCTTGTTTCAGGCTTGTGGTGGAGGATTTTGGGACTGAGGTGAAGGATTTGGGGTTTAGGGATTCTAGTCCAACGCCTCCCAGAGTCCCTTGGATTGCAGTACCTTCTTAGCCCTTTTGGCCTTGACCCCTTACATGTCCTACTGACACCCACGCACCCTTGCGTCTGCATCTTTTCGTGTGGTGTCTGCACGCAGGAATTGTAAGACGTTTACCCCCCCACTCCAAACAAAAAACAGCCCTGCAGACGTTCAATAAGTCAAGATGATGTAGGGCAAGTCGCAGCGATGAAGCACAGCTGACCTCAAGCCATCGGTGTGAAGCTGTCGGGGGCAGGGGGGCTTGAAGGCTGAGCTGGGGCCCGAAAAAGCCGCAGGCAATCTTTGGCAGAGGCAATAACTCTGATCACACACACACACACACCTGCAAGAAGCGGATGTTATAAGTTTCATCTTCCGAAAAGAGACGGTGAAAGCACGACATTCAAAGCAACCGCTCACTTGCAGTCTTGGGGCAGTGGAAGGGCATTTCCCTGAGACCATGCCTTCAGGGCTCCAGCTGAAGCTTGGTTCGGGGGCTTCAGGCTATCATGGGGCTCTCGGGTACTCTGCAGCTGCGCGTTATGCAAGGTTGTTGAAACTGAAGAGCCCCTTACTAGGTGTCGATTTCAACAGTCCCCAACATTATTACTCATTAGGGCTCCATATGAAACAATAAGGGAAAGAAACAATTATCCCGAATCGATACCTAGCTTACGACGGCTGAGCCACACTGAATGCTCCCTGCAGCTCATGATTCTACTACCCAGCAAGTTCTGAAGCCCAATCCCCAAATCCCCCAAACTTTCATCCCAGCAAGAACCCCAAACCGTAAACCCTAATCCGAGCTTCTGATTAGTGGGTGGGGCCCCCCCCCCCCCCCTCTCACAATAAGGAATGCAGGGTTCCGCAATAGTTGGACCGTGGCCCTGTATTGATTCTCTATTAAAAACAATACGATGCAGATCCCTGAGCTGCTGTAGCTTTGCGTCTCCGCAAGCAAAACAAGAAGCCTGCCGACAGATTTTTGAACCCCCCCCAAAAAAAATCCTTTAAATGTGGGGGGTTTGTCCCATACGAAATCCACCCTAATGGAAAGTAGTCTTCCGGCGGGCTTCCGGCCAAAAAAAATTTCTTTAAATGTGGGGGTATTAATTAATCAGATGCTCGGACTAAGGCCTAAACCCTAAACCCCTAAACCCTAAACCCTACCCAAGGCAAGCTGCAAAGCCAGAGGTGGGTTCAGAGATCGAAGCTGTCCGCACTTCCGGCGCAGGCGGCCGTAGTCTTGGTGCAGCATTCTGGGGGCATTGTGGCTCCAAAAGTGCAGCTGGCTTTCTACAGCCTACTGTAGAAAGCGCTGTGCTCAAGAAGTGGTTTTGGGATGGCGAAGCGGCCTGTCATTGTGCCCAGGGTGTGGAGCACAGATTCAGCCAAGCTGCAACTGTCCTGCGCTGGACCCAACGAAACCTCAGCAGGCTAACGCTGGAAAAGGATGTTATATCGATTCTGCGCGCCGCGATCTCACAAGCATCAAGCTGCGGATTCACAGGCTCTCAGAGCTGAAAAGAAGCCCTCCCCTCTCAAACCCTAAGCCCTAGACCCTGAACCCTAAACCCTAAACCCTAAACCCTAAACCCCAACAGCTGAAACGAAGACCTCCGCTCCTCAAACCTCTGGCTCCAGCCGAAGTCGCCCGTGTCTCGATGAGCTCCACAGGTTCGAACCCTCCTACACTGACCGAGAGGAAACCCGACCTGAGGCAAGAGGGTTTAGGGTTTAGGGTTTAGGGGTTAGGGTTTAGGGTTTAGGGTTTAAGGCTTAGGGCATTTGACAAAAAGCAACCCCACGTTCTTTTCCTTTCTGGCGTCTGCTTCGAGTATCTTCGAGGCATTTCAAGGCTACTGAGTGATTTCCGGCCCTGGCCTAGGCGACCGCTGAATGAATTTACGAGAACGCCTGCTAAAACAACACGAAACAATCCGCCGAGGCCTCGGGCCGTAGGTGTATGGGTGGCACAAAGCAGGCTCCCTTTTTTCGGCGTTTTTTTCCTGCAATGGGTACCCCCGAGGCAAACGGGGGTGACAACACAACAGGACCAGGGCAGTTTTGGCCTTGACACACAGGGACCCCCCCCCTGGCCCCCCCCCCCCCCCAACCTGCCGCTCTCCCTACCCTCCACCCCCCCGCACCCACGCGTGCCCATGACTGGTGCAGGGTTGCACCCCAAGCTCTCTGCGCCACTCATTTCTGCGTGGTCACGGTGCGTGTGAAACCTGGTGCGCACCACGTCGCGCTAGGCATGCCTCTGTTGGGCATGCGGTTTAGGGTTTAGGGTCTAGGGTCTGGGTGAAGGTTTAGGGTCAAGGGTCTCGGGGTCTAGCATCTGGCGTTGATGCATGAGGCGGCTACATGCGTCCTGGCCAAACTGCCTTTGTGACCCTGCGCAGCTGCAGAGCTTCCCGCAACCATGCACATGCTCACGGGGCTGCGCTGGGACAGGCCGAGGCGGGTCGCGTAGCGTTAAAATTAACACAGGTCCTATTCTTTTTCTCATACACACATGCGCATATACATATAAATACATAGATAAATAAATACGTAAAAAAACAAATAAATATCGATATATATATATATGTATGTATGTATATATGTATATATGTATATCTGTATATCTGTATATATGTGTATATGAATATATGAATATATGTATATGCAAAAAATATTGAACATTAAACCTTTTGTATTCATCGTTGCAATTCATTAGAAGTGTGCACAGAAGCAGCAGACCATTTCAATGTACTAATTTCGATAACAACACAAAATATGGGAAAGTATTAGATATAGATAGAAACCCAGAAAGGAGAATAAACTACTTCAACATTGATACTGAAGCTATGTCAGATTTGCAACCATACTCGATACTACATAAGTATCACGTAGAATGATATATACATATATATATATATGTATATCATTTATCACGAACCGGATGCAATTAGTTCTAATATATAAATATGCTCATAAATAAAATTATAAATATAAATATAAATAAATATATATATACACATATAAATATAAATATACATATAAATATAAATATAAATATAAAACTAAATATAAATAAATAAATAAATATATATATGTATATATATCGTATGCAGTACGAATATATGTATATGCTGTAGATTACATTCTGCATGGTTTATAATACAAAAGTGAACATCATGAGCATCTACAATGTAACATAGACACCTTTTCATAGAGAGTACAATAACGGCCAACGCGACAAGAAAATCTGTACTCCAATAGAAAAACACATACAGTATACATTCTACAATATGTATGATACCAAGCATGAGAAGTCATCATCACCATCATCATCATCATCGTCCTCATCATCATCATCATCATCATCATCATGATTATCATCATATTAAATTATAATGTATACATATGACATCACATGACAGCATGCTATATATGATATGCATTCTACACTACCTGATGAAGAATGCTTGGTAGGTTCTGAGGCCTTGGTAGTGCAGCCGCAAGGCTTGGTCTTGCTCCCAGAGCGGGATATCTCCTCTGGCCGCCACGGATCGTCCATCTCGGCTTCGGGAATGGATGTATGGCCGATCAGAAACCCTTTGTTTTTGGGTGGTGTCTTTGTGTGAGGTTTTAACTTTGAACGTTCGAGGTAAGCACATTGGCACCGAGGAAATCCAAACCTCGGCCTAGCAAGTCACTGCGAGGTGCTTGAAACTTGGAAGCCCATGCATTCCATGTCAAGCCAAGCATCAGGTGAATGTAAACATGGGTGGTACTCTATGGTGAGCAGATTGTCTGGGTCCGTCTTGTCACCTGGCCACATGGCCACTAAAGGCTGGATGAACCAGTCCGAAGCCACCAACCCCAAGCCAAGGCAAAAGATTGCTGGCTTGCTCTGAGCCACGACCATGATGTAGCCTGAGAACCTGGGCCGGACATCACCGCACTGCTTAAAGGCAGCCGGGGGTTAAGGGCTTTTACGAGTTTGTTTCAACAACAGCCCTGCCTCACGCGGAACCGGCGCCATGGGAAGAAGCTCCCACAGGACCACAGCCTTGGACTCAACTCGGCTTCAAGGCGATACTAAGAGCCAGCTTACAGCTGAGGCCCTCCAAAGTAGACCAGGCAGCATCCTCAAGCCCTTCCAGGATCATCATGGCAAGAAGCGCATAAGTTGCCTGAGCTGAGAAGTCTCTCTGCGCACGTCTCGCCAGCTCTGTGTGGTTCGCATTGTGCACGGCTCATGGATACTCAGGCTTTCAGCTCATTGTAGCGCATAAGTTGTCGCACCAACGCCCACGCGCCTAACAACCAAATCCAAAACCCCTGACCTGAAACACCGCGCAGGCGTGGAAACCTTGCGGCATCTGTTCGCCAAGTGGCGGAAGAATTGAAAAAAGGTTCCAGGACACTGTCGACTGGCTGCAGGCCATAGAACGCAGCACGTGCTGCTCCCAAGCCAAGTATAGCAATAAATCTGAAATAGCCTCCGAAGATCTTCATGTGGTCATGCAACTTGATAAAGCCGTTGTATGACATGGCCGTCAGGACGTCATGCTCCTGAGTTGATTCAGGTACAGTGGAACCGGCAGAGAATGCTCACTTCTGGAAGCGAGCCTACAAGTGGTCTCTATGCTAGGTCTAGGTCCTGCGCACCTCAATATCTGCGGTGTATGGGTTCTGGTCATTGTACACTAGCTTCAGGCTAGAGTGGGCAGCGTGCGAGCGTGAGGAGGGGCTTGAGCTTGAACGCAAAGCTCCACACACACGATCCCACAGCAGGTTGGCAAACCCGCCAACAGATAGACTCCAATCTGGGGCCTGCATTTCTGCGTCCGGGCTTCTCCGACACAACGCTTGAAGATTCCGAAGACAGCGAAGTGCGCCCAGCCCAGGCGAACAAAGAGATTGAGCAACAGCCTTTGTGAATCTTGTGCTCTCAGGCTACAAGGATTTGCCCTGATGATTCTGTAGTGTTGCGCTTCTTCGTTGCATCATTTTCGCAGTACAGCAGTATCGCTTCGTTGCGAAAGTACATATATACATATCAAGATACATATACGTGTAATCTACATATGCAGATACATATACATATATGTATATATATATATATGTATATATTATACGAGATACATGGTATGTGCATATGACAGATTCTGACAACGTTCCATCACCGCTACGCAAGCCAAGCCTAGAAATTCCGAGTCCATGCTGCAATGATACATGAGCTGCCGGTGCTCAAGGCTAGAGACTCTTATCCTGATGGGAAGAAGTAGCTCGTTTTGATATTGGCTGGGCTCAAGTATTAGCAACTCATGGTCAGGTGGGGTAGCGGAACTGTCAGCGCAGCAGTCGTTCTCAAAGTCTCCAAGCTTGTAACTTCAGCCGCTCGGCCACTGCTTACTGCACATCCGACAACACCGACAGTCAACGCTTCCGAGAGTCACTTGGTGACTATTGGTGTGTACGCAATGTATGCATGCATGGATGTATAGACGAATGGATGCCAGTGCATGCATATGGGCTGCACTGATCGTTGCTGGTGCTGTTGACTACGATCGGCCGTAACGGGGCGACCAAGCTTTGCAGGTCATGTTCCCACCCAAACGGGTTGGAACTTGGCTGTTGTGGCTCGTACTGTGCGTGGTGCTTCAACGAGCAGACTGAGTAGACCCTTTTGCAAGAATCCTTCCTCTTCCTGCCCTTGCTCCTTGATGTCGTTGGCCTTGCAGTGGCGGCTGCTGTTGATGTCTTGCTTCATGAAGCGTTGCATTCAATCACGCACCAAAGTCCCGATTCTAGAAACCATGGAAACCTCGCACTACAGGAGGACTTCCCCAGTGGTTGCGGCCTCGGCCCAGGCCAAGGGGCTGGCCGAAAATGGTAGGGATCCAGGACATACTCCCCCACTTCACGGCACCTGCAAAGCTGCCGACCAGCCGCACCGCCTCCCAGAAAGCAGGCGAAATAGCTTATCACAAGGTGCTCTGCTCTGCTCTGCTGTGCTGAGCGCGCAACGAGCCTCGGCAAGGCTGTGGGCAGAACTAATCATCCTTGGCTCAGACCGAGAGTTCGCAACTCGCAACTCGTGAACAACGCGACAGCTCGGTGCTCAATTCTCCAAGGCCAAGAAGCATCGGGACCGGTATAAAGAGGTGGTCCCCTGTATCCAAGTTGCCGCTCTGGCACCTGAAAGAAGGGGGGAAATTTTAAGAAGGGATCGGAGTTGGGGTTTAGGGTTTAGGGCTAGGGTTTAGGGCTTAGGGCTTAGGGTTTAGGATTCAGGGTTCAGAGTTTGCCTCCCTCCCCCCAAAAGGCCTCTTTGCCCAAACGAACTTGCGATACACGGTGCGCGTATAGGTGACTGCAGCCTGCTCCGCGAGAGTGGTCGAGACCGGCAGGACAATCGTCGCTGTCATCTTCATGTCAGCGGCCACAAGTGCAGCATACGTCCTCAATGAGCTACAAACTCATTAGGATGTGGGGCCATGCTCGGGTGCTCTGGGCATAATTTGAACAACTGTTGTCGACTTAGAGGAATACTGGATTGAACTCTGTACATGACTGAGAGCACTGGACTGCGAAGCGAAGGCGCATGCAAACGCCAGCCATGGTAAACGCGCAGCCAACCACACCAGCGACTTGAGCCAGTGCCCAGCGCAACCTTGTGGAGAAGTGCCTGGACCTGCAGGGTTTAGGGTTTAGGGTTTAGGGTTTAGGGTTCGGGGCTTTCTACGATGTCAGACTGCAGGAAACAGCAAAAGCAAATGAATCTCAATGACGGGTGACGAATGCTCCGGCTTGTTCATGGTAAACTTGTACAAAGCCAATGGGTTGGCAATAAACCTGAGTGGTCTGCAGGAGGGAACTAGGGTACAGGGACATACAGCCAGCACAAAACCCTAAGCAAAACCAAGTACACGTGATTCTCCCGGTTCGACAGCAATCTGGGAATGCAGTTTCCTCTGTCTCGCAGTGAACGTAGCATATGTAGCGTGGGTGCACAGGAGCTTGCAGAACCCATCTTTCGATGGTAACATGAGGAGTTTCTTGAATTCTGTGCTTCCGGAACACCCTAACCCTAACCCCTAAACCCTAAATCCTGGCCGGGGTTCTCCATGCTTCTACATCAAGTTCTAGCCTCTGAGAGCTACCCCCTTGCAGCCTTCATGCCAAGGTGGCATCGGGATGTAGCTGACCGCATGAAGTGGGAACTCCCCAATCCGCCAGTCGCTGGCCAATACCGCTGTGATCAGGGCCACCATGCCAATCTACACAGGGCATTTGGGGCAATCAGCAGGGTTAGAAGGCCAAGTAGTTCTTTCCTCAACCCTCGTGGACTTGAAAGCCACAATATACCCTAAACCATTCAACCCTCAACCCTAAACCCTAATTAGGCCTTTACATCCTACACCGTAAATCCTAAACCTTTAGACCCGAAACTGGTGTGTCAGTCCAGGTTACTATGTTCGCAAGTCGATTGATCTTCCAGTGACTCTGCTCCCCGCAAAGGCTGGCTGCGAGATTCTCGACAATCAAAGGGCCGCCTCTGTTCAATCGGACTTTGCACGGGGAAGCCCTGCATGGGGGTTTCCGATAAAAGGGGTACCCCCCCCCCCCCCCCTAGGGATCCTTTTTAAGGGGCTTCTACCCTAAACCCTAAACCCTAAACCCTAAACCCTAAACCCTAAACCCTAAACCCTACTATATTTGGGGGCACAAGGGGGTACCCACTATAGGAAACCCTCACATGAAGATCCCTGAATGAAGCCCTCTCCGCGCACGTCCACAAGCTGCTGCTGACATTCTACAGTACGTGAGGGTTTAGGGTTTAGGGTTTAGGGCTTAGGGTTTAGGATTTAGGGTTTAAGGTTTAGGGTTTCGGGTTTAGAGTTTGGGGTTTAGGGTTTAAGAGCTTCTCGAGTTGACCACGGCAGCGAGGGTTTTTCTACACCAGCGAGCCCGAGGGGCGCCATGCTCTGCCCACACAGTACATCTCAAGACCCCCCCGACTACACCTTCAACCTCAAGAAACCTTTTCAACACGAAACGCTGTCGGTGGCGCAGAAGAGGATGCCATTCATCATAACCGGGAGTGGACGCCACCAAGGCTTGTAACTGGGAGAAAGGTTGGCCTCGAGTTGCATGTGCCTCGGCTGGGTGTGAGAAGGGTTTTGGAGTGTGGGGGGGGGGGGGAGTTTGGGGCCAAAGGGGGTGCAGTTTGTGTGCATGGTGTGTCTTTGGCCTTTGAGGAGTGTTCCAATGTCTGCACCTTGACATTCGGCATTCGGCTTCACATGCTTCGAAGGCTGGGTGGGGGCTTTGGTCGCCTGGGCCAGGCTTGGCCATGAATAGTCGGGGCTCATCAGCCACCGCAGGAAATGCCAAACGAACACCACCAGAACTCCCAGCAGCACTCGTCGCGGAGTGAAGGTACCGAAAGGCTTCAGGTAAGGGTCGACCACTGTCCTTGGGAGCACAGAGGGCGTCAGACAACAATAGAGCTGCCTGACATTGGAGCCCAGCAGCTACTTCTGCCAAGTCTCACATCCCAATCTTGCGCCTGCTGTAAGGTGGGGTTCAGAACCACCTGTCCAGATAATTCCACCTGTAGCAATATGCTGCACAGTCACGGTCGGCATTCAACTTTCAACAGGCTCCGCGTGAACAACGGCTACTCTTTACAAGTTCTCCAGAAATGAAGAGGCGTGGCCTGAATATTCGCCCCTGAGTCGATGATGTAGATGTGTCTCATAGAGCCCTCGGTCTTGATAATCTGCAGAGTATGCGTTGGCGGTAGATCGAAAGCGTCTGGACCTTGTCAGGGAGGCCAAAAGCTGCCCATGCGGCGGCGTTGTCACAGGCTCTTGAAGGCAGTCCTAAACCCTAAACCCTAAACCCTAGACCCTAGACCCTAGACCCTAAACCCAAAACCCATGGTTGACGCTTGGTGTTTACGTCGGGTGTGCTACAGCTCAGGGGAGCAGTTGGACTCGGGGCTCTTGAACTCCTCTCCCAGGCCTGCCTGACTTGGTCCAGTACCCCCTGCGCGCCAGCCAGGGTTTAGGGCTTAGGGTTAGGGTTTAACTCTGAAAGGGCTTTCCTACCGAATCCCTTTTTTGCAATGGCCTGACAGTAATTTGTGTGTGTGTGTGTCTTGCAGTGCGAAAAATGCGATGCAACTAGTGTGCCATTTGCCCTGGCAGTCGTCTTTGTGCCCTCTTGTATTGCTCCATTCTACTACGTTGGGCTACGCTTGACTGGAGTTGATTTGGGGGGCGCGAGAAGCAGCTCTTCAATGGGTAGGTCCTCAATTCTGAACCCTAAATACCATTTTGGGTCCACACCCTGTTTCTGCCACCAATCGTCTGCACGCCATTCTGTGACCGAGGTTAGGGTTAGGGTTGTCCCCCTTGAAACGCGGACCCCCTTTAGCCCTTACGACCCCCGACGGTATTCAGCGTAACCCTTGCGAACATAATTATACAAATAGAAACATAAGCACATAATTAAAGAGTATGCATGTACGAATGTGTATATATATATATATTTATATCCATATTTGCATTTAGTTTCCGAGGTGGTCGACGCTCCAGTCGCCAGAGTCACGAAAGCGTAAGCATGCGGCCAGCATTAGCGAGGGTGAGTGACCATATTAAGGGCCCATGAAACTACCCTCAGACGTCTGCGCTTGTCATTGCACTAGGCCTTGGGTGTGGCATCAAGCAGAAGCACCACATTGAGCACGAGGTAATCAGATCTAATCCAGGCGTTTGCCAAGTGCCGCGTTGGATGAGTTTGCGTCTTCACCACCACTATTTAGTACAGAACTGCTAGCAGGCCGGTGCCTTAACTGAGCTAGCACAGACTGTAGTGGCTTCCTAGTGCTGCACTGGTGCTTTTGTGAAGCCCTCTTGCCGCAGATGAAACCTTGAACGCTCCAAAACCATCTACAGGGGAACCTAGAAAAGCCCCCCCATTGCCCTTGACCAATTCCTCGACACATCACTTCAGCAACCTCCATCGGTTTCTGAATCACTGAAGGTTTCAAGCCTTTGTTAGCCCCAATCCGTCCTGGATCGGGCTCCCAGACGCTTCCCGAGCGTGGACACGGCCCAGTTTGAAGGTGGGGGCATCCAGGAGAAGAAAGCATCCTGGCAGTCTAGTGCGGGTTTAGGGTTTAGGGTTTAGGGGAACTTCCACCCCACACACCGCGCATGAGGGCACAGAGGGCAGCAACCTGGCCTGAAGACTGAAAGCTGCCACCTGCCACGTCCGGTTCGCAAACCCCCAAGCACACCACATGATGCTGACCTAGCTCGCCACATCTACAGCAGGCTTAGGGTAGAGGGCAGAGGGTTTAGGGTTTATAGGGTTCAAAAGGGTGGATGCGATGCTTCAAGGGGCCTTGACACGCTCATCGCCCAGGCCGCCCGTCGAGACGTGCACCAGGCGACCCCCAGCAGCCAAGCGCCTTGCAGCCCAGCTTGAATACCAGACATGTATTAATATATATATATATATATATATTTATTAATATGATGATGATTATTATTACTAAGTGGGGTTCAGGGTCTCCTTAAAGACAAGGGCTTCTACTCACAGGTTATCTCTAAGGGAGCCCTCATTTTCAGGGCAACTCCTACCTGTCTCTCAACGTGGATCGCGAATCCTCCAACCCCCTTAGAGCCCCTCGGCAAAAGCAGGAATCGAGCCTCCTTGCTAGTAGCTCGTCAGTTGCACCTCCCAGCAGTGGGTAAGCATCTCAGTGGGCCCCCAACCCAGCCCTCACCAAAGAAGCTTACAGAGCCGACAGCTTTTAGCATCACGAAGCGTCAAGACTCAAGACTTGTCTGGGAACTGGCCCCAGTCAGCCCACCTCCGTCGCCAACAATGATCAAGCAACTGTCTTGGTACTGCTGACCTTTGCAACGGCTGCAGGGAAGAGAGATCTGGAAGTCCAGATGTGAGGTTCCCCGCTTCCCGCACGCCACGAAGCGGCCTTTCCTAAGCCTGGCTCCTGTTACATGCAGTTTGGGCTTTCGAGGTATTGCAGGCTTTCTCAAGGCTCCCCTAAACCCTCAACCCTAAATTCTAAACCCTAAACCCCAAACCCTAAACTGTGAAGAGGGCTTTCTGCTCTTTATCTCAGCTAGGCAGCTGTTCATTGCAGGGCCATCCTGCCCTGAGCATCTCTGCAGCCCGGCGCGCCGTCCATCCCCGCGCGGCTTGGACACAGTGCTTCCATGTTTCTGGGGTTAGGGGATTGGGGGTTTCGGGTTTAGGGGGCGTTTAGGGTTTAGGGTTTGGGGGTTTCGGGCTCAGGGTGAGGGTTTAGGGCTTATAGGGTTTAGCGTTTAGTTTAGGGTTTGATGTTGAGGCTGGCATGGCAGGTAAAAGGTTCAGGATCGATTGGCCTCCTGTGGCTTTGCCTGAGGCGCTGCTCGTCTTGTGACGGCATCTACCTTTGCATGTACATATATGAATTATCTACGTTTACGCGTATAGCTGTCTATCGCCTCTAGAACCGTGATGTGGCGTAGTTCCTTTGGGACCATGTACCTGAATCCGGTTCGGCTCCCAGGCTCGCAGCCCGAAGCTGTGAGCATCAAACGCGGAGGCAGCAAACCTGCAAGTCGAGTGAACAGCGGGGAGACGAAGAGCCGCTTCACTATTCATTGCACGTGGGTACCTTTAGAACCAAAGATGCACATCGCTGAAAGGGAGCAGTAGTGGGCGGGTGGGTGGGTGGGGGGGGGGGGGGGGGGGAGGGGGAAAAGTGAGATGACAGTACTCGTAATTATGGTAGTAGCAATAGCAATCATTGTAATAGTGGTAAAAAAAAACCAAGAATGAACACTAGCACTAACCGAAATACTAGTAGGAGCAGTAATTCATAATGGCAAGAACCGTTAGAACAGGAACATCACTAAAGTGCTAGAAATGATGGTCGTAATAGAAACAGAAGCAGTGTTCCTCTTCTTAATCCAAGAACAATGGGAACAGTCCAGTGCTGGTGCGTGCTCGTGCGCGGGCTGACAGGGGAAGCTTGGCATGGAGTGTACGAACGAGTTTTTTGATGCGAACGCTCTCCGGAGAACCGATGAGCTGCCGCTTAAACTCCAGGATTCGCATCCTGCTATGCACAGCACCCATTTGGGTTTGCTCCAGAAAATCATTAAAATGTCGGTTGGGCTTCCTTTTGGGGCGGGCCCCTGCCCCTCATCAAGGTGACTGCCACTCAAAAATGGGGGGAGGCCCAAATCAAAGCCGTCTCATTAACAAGATTCCTAGGAAGCCGGAGCTTTGCCGAGCCCCAGTCCTTCTCTACGACCTGCTGTCCGCAAGTGCTCAAGAAGTGACTACGTAGTGGTAATCCCCTTCCTGTGACGTGAGTCTTGGGGAGCTTAGGATGGCCCTTCGTTCAGTTTGGGGGTGAAGTTGCCTGTAACAGCAGGCTGTCAGGCCAACCAAAATGACCCCGGAGCTTCTTTGAACATTCGCGAGGAATGACACGGAGCTCCGGGGGCCAAACGTGGGGTATTTGGGGAGTATTTTGGGACATTTTGCATGTATTTTGCGGGTATTTGGGGGCAGTGCTGCGGGGTTCAGTTCAGGCTTGGCTTCGTCACTTGCCTTTGGCAATCCCCTTCGGCGGGCATTGAAGCGAATGATATTTGGCCTTCTTGTTCTTGCGGCCTCACAAGCCCGACCCCAAGCCTTACGTAGACATGTGACCCCGGCAAGAACGTCCAGTGGGACAAGTCCATGGGAGAGGGTGCACATCACTTCTGGGTAGGCATACAACACGCGCAATCGCACCTAGGCTTACTTTTCTTAAGATGCTGGTTGATCTATCAGATTCCATGATACCACAACGACCAGCCTCAGAGTTAATAAGGGAACTCGCGACGTGCCTTCAGCCACTTTGCAACAAGGCTTGCCGATCCACTGTTCCTTGCCATGGAACAGTGAGTGTGCTTGCGAGGAGCCCCCGCCCACATCCAGACAATAGCAAGGAGCTGCTATGAATGCTGAAACATACTATTTAGAATGTATCCCTGTATGGTTCCTCGACTTAACAACAACCCAGCTCAGACATTCAGACATGCCTTGTGGACACTGGCACCTTACCTGTCCGTACTCCGGCCGAGGCGCAATCGATTTCGCGTCCTCCTCATCGAAGCCCGGGAAGGCAATGTCCATCGTTCTTGGAGGGCTGCTGGTTGGACTTGCTGAATGTATGGAAGCTTGGGAGAGCCCTAAGCTACCTAACTTCAAGCCGAACCTGAAGGCCACAAACCCTGATGTGGTTTAACCCTACCTGTAGTCAACCCAGGAGTTGGCCATGTGCGACTTTGTGCAGGTTATGATGGCCGCAGCTTTTTTACGGACCCTTTTTCCAGCTCTGAAGAGAGCCAGCTCTCCCGAGCCCTTTTCAATTCCAACCCAGCGCCCAACGCCCTACACAGGCCCCAAAGCGCTGCGCTTACTCTGCAGGCGTGGCATCTTATGGCATCCGGCGGGCCCACTGTAACGCCGATACCTCGGCTGCATTTCTTCGGGGGGGGGTGGGGGCGGGGGGGGGGGGGGGGGCGGGGGGGGGGCTGGGGGGGTGGGGGCGGGGGGGGTGGGGGCGGGGGGGGTGGGAGAAAGCCCTTCTTGTAGCCCTCTAGCCCTCAGTCCTAAATAAAACCAACCTCAACTTTGGCGAAGTAGGCGGAAGCGGCCGAAGCACACATAGGTCAGAAACATTCTCCTGTCGTAGTCTTTTTTGTATTTGTCCACAGCCTCAACATCAAACTCCTGGAGCAGGGTACCGCGGTGAGAAAGAAGACGGTCAGTACTCAGGCAAGTAGGGTTGCACTTGTAAATCCTGTTGTCATTGTGTGCCCGGTAGGGTTGTGCATTTCCGAGTTGGAAATTGCAAGTATCGAATCATGGTAACTCCCATCTACTTACTCTCGTTTGCGCGGTGTGCCTTTGAGGCCCTGAATGTCAGACGACAGCCTCTTAGGATCTGCCCTCCATCCGCCCTGCCTTCCGCAGCATGTTCTCCAACCTCTGGACTTCCCCAGGCTTCTGGCTCGCCAAGTCTTTGAGCCTCGCTGTGACACGCGCTGACGCAAGAAGCCTCGCACGCTGCGGGGAAGTGAAGCGGGCGCCCTCTGAGCAGACGACTCCCATGGGTCCTCCTTCACATCAAAGAGCTGAGGAGGCCAGGGAGTACCTCCAAGCCCCTTACAACCATAACTTAGCAGGGTCGCCGCCCCTAAGGGCCTCAGCCAAGGGCATCGAGGACTGTGAGTGTTGCATGTGGATACACCGTGCACCTCGAAGAAACCTCCGCCTCCTTTCAGTTTTTGCATCTCCTCCCCTCCGCAACCCGGCCTCCGTGGTAGAGGGGCGCGTGTAGGATGAGCTTCAGGTGACCATGTCGGATCATGAATGCCCCAGTCCTTCCAGCTCGACAGTTCCGCTGCGTCGTTATGCGTTGTAGAGACAGAATGTGCGCAGCACACCCTTGTAGGCAAGCAGCCGTGAGTAGGAGTCGTGGTACTCCGACACCACGTAGTTGCGCTTACCTTGAAAGAAAATCCCAGAGCTCACCTTCGATCTAACTTCCTCGCAACTCTCCTCTTTGGTGTCGGCCGGAGCCCGCAAAGCTGTCCGACAAAGTACCCTAAACCCTGAACCCCTGAACCCTCAACTCCCTGAATCCCCTAATCCCCAAAACCCCTAAACCTGCCGGCCAGGCGCGCCCATGACCCCTTGCCAAAGGCAGTACAGATTCGCCCGCCAGCTTGGACTGCAGGGGGAGATAGTCGAGATGGCCGAGATGCGAGTTGCTTCGACAATCGCAGAACGCGTCTGTTGGTGTGTACCATGTTAAACAACCTACCCACAATAGCAGAGGCGGAGTGATGTTGCAATTCAACACTTGACCCGACATATCTCCAAAGCTTAGACCATCTCAGAACCGATGACCCTGCATTACTTCTTGGAGGCAGGCGTACAAGACATCAGAACGGCTTGGGCAGGCCCTTTGGAAGTGACCCTCCTAAGGCTGTTGCTCTCATCCCTTGCATGATGGGGCCTCACTCAAGAGCATCTGGGCCATGTCTCACAAGTGCAGTGTCTGGTCTTAATCACTGAACCCCTCAAACGGAGCCCAGAATTCGAAACCTCATAAGAACAAGCCCAGTCGTGCCTGGGGCACTCGACTCTTCGCACCCGCCATGTCAACGAGCGTTGGGTAAACGTCCTCGCTTTGCAGCCCCCTACTTGTGTATGAATCATGGAGATGGGGTGCCTGGCAGATCGAGGTTCCCATGAGTTCCTACTGTCGTTCTGGTCTTACTCCATCTCTCGGAGACATGAAGACCTCCTCCGGTCTCTGAAGCTCTTCTTGCCAAAAAGATCCAACTTTGCAGCAAGGACTCATTCAAAGACGTCAAGTCGTTGATGCGCTTGCCCTGGCAAGGGTCGTTTACTGCGCCCGAGTTTTCAGGCAACTGCTGGTTTGGACCTGGTGTCTTGGGAAGAAACATGCACATGCCATGAGAAACCCCCAAGCACCAGATCATCCCTGTGTGCGCTGCCTTGGGCATGCCAGGACCGGCCACTATCAGCGGAATGCGCGCTGAGGCTTCCTGGTTTGACTGCGGCAAGTTTTGATGTTCACCCTTATGCTAACGGTCCTGAATAGGGATTATGGTACCCCCGATTATAATCCCTATTAAGGACTGTTAGCATAAGGGGGAACATCCCAATCGGTAAGGTTTGTGGTGGCGGGGCAGCTTGGGGTTTCGGAGTTTTTGAGAACTGCAACCGCAGCTCAGGATAAAGGGACTCGGGCCTCTCGAGTTCAGACCTGACATTGCCCCCCCAGTGTGTTTTGGGCGTGGTTGTGCCTCGGCGCCAGTTCAACAAAAGCGAGACTCCAGCCTTGTGAGCTTCTGTGTTGGGTGGCGGATGCTTCGGGGTTGCGGGTCCGAGAACGCGCTACCTCCTCCCTGTGTTGGCAAGGCCGTAGCAGCTAAACGTCCGTAGAAGGCCCTGAACCGATATGGCTGGGTCCTTCATGGAGCTCTTCTGCCACTGGCGATTCTCCAGGTTGTGCTCGCCATGGTCCTTGAAAGAGGGCACAGGGTTTCAAGGGCTCTTGTACAAGGCCTCAACCATATTTCGCTCAAAGGTGCAGAGACAAACATCACGTAGGCATTCTTCACGCCGCTGTTGTAGAAGGCGCTGAGGATGTTGCCGACAAGGCGGTCCGATTCTACGCCTTTGTTTGTTGTCTTCGAGGCAGAGGCAGCCAGGGAGTTTCGACATTCGTGACCCTGAGAACAGATGATGGAACTCTTGGATCTCGAAGAGTTTGAATGAACGACTTGAATGAAACATTTCGATCTTCGACCCTCGGCCCGAGAAGGTTCCTGCCCAAGCGGCACATCGAGAAGTAAACGCGTCGGAAGTGCTCGATGTCCTGCCACAAAGCAGCATCGTGTAACTCCCTTGTGCCCCTTTCCCTTTTCTAGGATGCCATCGGGGACCGAAACCTGAAACCCTCCCACTCACACCTTCCGGAATATCCTGAAATCCCCTTTCTCTCCAGCTCTCGAACTTCCCCCCGCACCTTGGCATCGCAATCGTCCATCTGCCAGAACTGCTTGGCCTTGGCCGCATAGGCATCCGCTGGGTGCAGCTGATCTCGAGGCACCAGGCGTGGGACGGCATGCCTCGACTGGATGATCTCGGCTTGGGAGTTGGGGATCTGAAGGAGCTGCGAAAGCTTAGCGTTTTGTGCCCGCACTGCTGTATGTGAACTGACAGTCTCTGCACGCACAAACACAAAAAACCGAAACACACACACAAAATGGGCAGGCCGCTTCCCCAAAGATCCAACTGCGTTCCAGTACGTGCCATTCGTCTGGTATGGCGGGTGCGGCACTGAGAATGAGCCTGGGATGCGGCCGTGTTGACCATGGTTTGCATTACTTTATCTTACCATGATAACGTGCCTTTCTATTTGATTCGAAAGGCGGCTCGAAACATCCCTTGAAGAAGCCTCACTGGTCATGAGAAGTCATGAATCAAGCGGAGTCTGGGCCCGGGTTTAAAAGGGTTGCGGGGTGATTCGAGTGGCCGTTGCTGGGCTCAGCTTGCTGCTCTGGCCTATGAGGGGATTCGCTCATTTCGATCACTCCCTGGCTGTCCAAGTCCAACTTTTGCAGGCCCCGAAGCCCCGCTGCTGGAATTTCTGCCGGGGAGCAGTACAGGAACTGCGGCGTGGACTTTTTGAAGATACCGTTCTTGATGAGCTTGGCACAGGCCTTCTGCTGCACAGGGAGAACTTTCTGAGCATCCTTGACATTTAGTCTGGGACCCCCCAAAGGGGGTCCTTAGGATGTCGTCCGCCACGATATGGGGTTTACGAAGATGGGGGACCCCTAAAATAGACCCTTAAATCGTAGGATCCTCTTGAACAATAAGGCTTGCAAAAACAACCCCAATAAGGTACCCCTAGTATCGTAAATCCCCATATCTGCTTCGCAGTACAAACCAGAACGACAAGCACCGCTTCCACACAAACAGCTGAGCACAGTTCGAGATTGCCTCATCTCCACTGACTAAGCCCCGCGAAACAGCAGGCCACTGGCAGGCCCACGCAATCCCTACAACGTCGAAAGCCAGCCTCTGCTGTCGGATAGTCATAGTAGCCTTCTGCAGGCATCGGCCTGGGTGCGAGATCTCTACCCCCCCGCACGGTCCCCTTAAACCCACAATGACAGCACCCCCACGTCAAGCCCAAAACCACCATAACGCCCCAAAGGCTGAACCCCCTTGGTCTTGAAGCTCTGCAGCATTGGACCTTGAATAGCAACCGGCTTAGGGTTTTTTTCGGCACTTCAGGAATATTCTGATGGATCATGATCACATCCTCTCCGCTCCAGCAGGGTACGAAGCAGCCTAGGAGGTAACCCCACACGAAACCTGCAGCAGAGAGACACATCAATCGGCCTTCGCATCCAAAGCGTGGGGTCCTGTCTCTTTGAAACGACCTCAGCTACACACTTCTCTTAAGCTTCAGACAGCCACGTCCAGCAGTATTGCACTTTATTGGCCAGGGGCAAGGGTTTAGGGTTTGGGGCTTGGGGTTTCGGGATATTTGCGACTGGAACGGAACAAGGTGAGAATCATCGTGAGCGTTCTGCATTGCTTTTCTCTGTCAGCTCTCTCCCGAGTGCCTTGAGTTCTCAAGAGTCAAGTCAGACGTCATCCCCCTTGGCACTGACTGCCAGTGAGCTCTGATGGCCCTGCACTGTTGCGGCTGCCGCTTCTTCGCTCCGGATTCGAGACGGCTTTGCAGGCAGGCCGGTTTTGGGCTTTGCTTCCTTTTTTCAGTGTCCGAGGCACGCCCGCCAAGCGAGACCAAGCCTTCGCAGACTCCCTGACCGGACCAGTTCCCGTGAAGGGATCGTTTGATATCCTCGGGAACAGAGTCGGGCGAAGCCATCGCTGGCTTTAGTAATTTAGTAGACGATCCACAGCTGCGATCTTTAGCAGACCTACAGCCTCACACTGCGCCCACAGACTTGGACTTTAATCTACTTTTGAGGCCCGGGAGCTTATGGCTGAAGCGGTCCAGGCCGGCCCCTGCGTGAACCTGCATGGGGCGGGGGGGGGGGGGCACCAACATCACTTCGGCCCTGGCTTTTCGTTGAGACCCCAGACCTTGCCCCAGAGCGTGATTTCATAGCCGTGGTCTGCGAGCACGTCGATGAAGGTGCCATTGATCTTCTGCTCCGCGGCGAATTCGCGGCACTCGCTACGTGAGAAGGCATCAACACACCTGAGGTGGCGGAGGGGGGGGGGGGTTAAAGCTTGCCAACCATAGGATGGAAGAAAAGTACACAAGGTAGTTTTGCAAGGACAAGACAGGGACTAGTGCAGGGGGGAAGTCCGAGGCACCTCTGATCTAGATTTCTGTTGTCGCCATTGACATTCGCGATCCCAACAAAGTTGTCCCATACCTTGATGTCCGAGTTGTACCTACCTGCCATCATCGATGTCCTTGCCGGAACGCACAAGGGCGAGTTGCTGTAGGCATTCGGGAAGTACCTCAGGTGGTCCAATGTGGTCCACAGCAGCCTGTGACATCCTATTCATCCTGTCACAACAGAGCTCGGAGGCTCGGCGCTTCACCGTGATCTGAGGCGTGTGCGCGCCCCGTTTCATCAGCTGTCGGAGGTGCGGCATGGGAGGCTTGAACTGAGGCGTCTCATCATCTAGGAGTCCTCGGTGCTCAGGGATGCACCGAGACAGCTCTGTTCAGCACAGTGCGACCTACAGAAACTGCCCCCCAAGTGTCGTCCATCCATCTCATCCACCATGATGAAGAGGATGTGTGGCTTCTGGCTGCGCTCGCCACTGCCAGCATCTCCGACCTGCTTTGCTTTGAGTTCTGTTGGCTCTCCGGCAACATCTGAGGCAAACCCATCACCAACGTATCATCGCCAAGATGCAGCAAGCTGCACAGCAGCTAGAAGGACCTGGGTCTCTGTACTTGGATGTACTTCGGTTTTGTGCTGCAATGTGCTGTGGGCTATGACTCGGGATCTGCTTTGGAGCTGTACTCGTGCACTCAGCACCAAACATTTGGGCGAGGCTCGCGCCACTGGCCTCCGTTAAAAGGGCCCCTGTTCGAAGCCTGCGTGCCCCCCCCATCCTGGTCTTTAACAACACTGGGTTGCTGCTATGGAACTTATGCAACTTCATTTACCATAACGCGGAGATGTCGCATATAACTGGGTCCCCCTTACTCTGGCAACCTAACTTAAGTTCCTTCAACGCAGCCCAAAAGCCCTCGCGGACCGAATCTCCGCCATGCCGGTGGGACATCTGAGGGTGGTGCGAGCTTTGCAGTCCAGGACATGGCTCGCTTCTTTAAGGGGAGACGGTTCGGTTAAATGTGGGCAAGCTGTGGCTTGAGCCACAACTGAGCACGTGGAACGCACACATTCTCGGACATAGCAGACGACATCTCAAGCCCCTCCAACAGCCACTGTCAGGTATCCCGGGACCATTTAGGCTTCGAAGGTGGGATTTGGACTGGACGGTTCGAGGTCGCAGGAAGGTTCGGCTTTCTTTAGGGGGTTTAGGGCATAGGGTGGAGACCAGAATCTTGTACATCTGGGTCGCGCGAAAGCGAAATGTGCGAGTGAGACGTGCTATTGGGCAACGGGCACGATTGACTTCATCAGACGTGCCAATTGGAGCATTTCAATTCATCATCCCATATTCATCCGATCTGCGCTTGCCTATAGACATGAAACAAGACAACCACCTTGTCCCAGACAACCCCAACTTGCGCCAACGTCGCAGCCACATCTGACACGCGCACTGATTAAAACTCGCATGTAGCATATGCGTCATTCAAAAGGAGCAGGCCCTTTGCCAGCTCAGTAGGAGCCAACCGTGTTAGGGTTTCTGAAGCCCGTCCCTGGCATGGCTGGCCCCACGCTCTAAGGGCCCTTACATGTGTTTCTGGACTTTGAGCCTCTGCTCCATGATCGGAATCCTGGATCCCTATGCCCAAAGCCGGCCACTGCGCGTACGGGCAGTTCTCATGGAAGGCTCCGGATGCTGCGCATACTGCGCTAAACTTGAGGCGCAGCCTCAGACGTAGCCCCGCCGACTCCGGAGAACAACTTCCATGACCCGGATCAGAGGTCGGCTAGTTTGCTCCCATGGGCCGCGCCAGACGGGCAGTCGAGAGAATGGTATTTGGATCCTGGCGCAAGGGGAACCTCAACCCTGTAGGCCCTCAACCCTATAGGCTTCCTCACGCTATGTTGGGGTTCCTCAGAAATGTTGCAGGGCCGTCATCCTGTTCAAGAAGCCCTGGTTTGTGTTTGTATCAAAGGCCATTTGTAGTGGAGCTCCTCTCGTGGTCTTTGCAAGCCTCTTCGCAGGCTGACGATCGCTTGTTTTCAGGGGTTGCGCTGATGCGGGCGATCGCGGGAGAAGGCTACAAGCGTCCGATGCCATGAAGTCCAAACAAAGACCCGTAATCAGGCCTCAGAAGGGTTGCTGCCTAGACAACTTGTCACTGACGCGCAGGGCTCGCAAATCTGATGCGCAGCGGTCTGAAGCTGGCCTGTAGTTTCCCAACAACGGAGGCGAAACCTAAACCCTGAAAATCCTCCAAACCCTGCTGAACCCTCTCAACCCTCCGACAGCTGACAAGCAAGGCCTGGTTGAATCACAACTGCTGCATCGTGAGCTCTCGCGCGCTCTTTAGACCAAAGCTCTCTGGCAGCAGCTGTGGCGAGCTACGAACCATAGCAGACGCGACTCTTAACCCCCTCTCTTGCTCCTTTCATGGGGCTGCTCAGAGCCTGTTGTAAGACGGAGCTCTGTTTGCAGGGCCTTTTTGCGTCTGCTTGTCGGCCGGCACACAGTGTGGCTTCCAAGGTGCTGTTGGGTTGCTGTCCATGGTTGAGTTTGGGCTTGCCACTCTGCTTGTGAGCAGCCCCAGATGTAGAATCAACCCTGCGATTTCAACTTTCAACAAAAGCTACAAGCCATAGTTTTCCGAATATCGCTTTTGGGGATTTGCAATGTTACCGAAATATACTTCGAGTTGCGCAGTTGCGCCCCACTTGCCTCGTTGCCGCCGACCTCCTTTGACTTGGCAGCAGCGCTTTCCCAGCCACTGCTCCTTGGAAGTCTCTATCGCACTTGGGAGAGGTCGAGGTAGAGAGGTTTAGGGCTTAGGGTTTAGGGTTTAGGGATGATTTCGTGAGGAGAACGAGGACACCAGCTGTGAGGGTCTGCGATGTTGTGCCTGTGTTTCATATGCTTCTGACAATGAGCCGAATGCTTACGGCAGCTTGCCACAGATTTCAGCACAGGATGTGAGGGTTAAGGGCTCAGGGCCACACATGGCTCGTTTAGATGCTGACAGAAATCTTTCTAAGCAACTTCCACGACATGCTGCGTATCTGGAGGAGGCTTCTGAGGATGAGGCGGAGCATAATTTTGGGACAGCATATATGAAGTAGGGTCTTTATTTCTTGTACTGCGGACTCGAGGTCGTGAATCATATCAAGGTGAGACAGCTTAGATTTGTACTAAGCACGGTTAGCAAGCACACCACCCCCAAATGGGCACCCGGTATGTACACTCACCAATATTAAAACGGAACCTTATATACACTCACCAATAACAGTAATATAAACCCTGTTTCAAATGATGCCAAACTTGTGGCTGGATGGCACCTTTAGCCCAGAAGGACACTTCCCAAACTGCAAAAACAAGTTTGTCACATCCCAGCGCTTGGCTCCCCAACCGTTGGCTCCAAAAACATCTCATGGGCTTATTTTCGTTGTAGAGTCCTAGACTAGGGGTCTCTATACTCAGATGTCATTTGCATGCCACAGAGACTGCTCGAATGTAAAATTGTCTACTCCCTTGTTGTAGGCTTTTGCCGATGAGAATACGCCGAAGACAACGGCCCAGTAACAACTTGTGCTTCGCTGGAATAGCTTGTAGTAAGAGACCGCAATATCATAGCTCTATGCTTTAGCTGCTCACACTCCTCTACGCTCCTGTACTACAGCCCGAAACCCAAAACCCTAAACCCTTCTGCCAGCAGGTGTCGATGGTGACCGCATCGTTGGCATCGAAACCCGGGTGTGCCAAATCCTTGGTCGCTTGATGCCGCTTCGGCAGAGGCCAACGTTCATGTTTAGGGTTTGGGGTTTGGGGTTGAGGGTTTGGGGTTTGGGGGCATGTGTCCGACTTGGTGATCCACCTCATAATGCAGTTCAGCTCCTTCGTGTCTGAACACGGTGCTGGCGAAAGTTTTGCATATTTGACTCGATCATGCTCCGTCTACGTCATGGTCCTTGACCTCCTAGAAGCATTTTTGACGACAACGAATGCTGGTATCTAACGCTTCCTAACCCCCTGTTGCTACCTTTGCATCAGTTGGCCTCAGGAAGCTCAAAGATGCAGCGGACCTCTTCGGACTTCCGAGGGGCCATGGCAGCGAAGCAGCCTGCGGCGCCGGACTTCTTGGAGTAGACATGCCTGAGTGGACTGGATTTGGGGATTAGGTTTAGCTTTGGGATTTCGGGTTTAGGGTGGTCCTTAACACTGCGGGCATGAATAAAGATCCAAGGTCAGAGTTTTGCAGGGGGCCTTAGACCGCAAGTCCTGCGGAGGTCCGGAACCTGAACTTCACCCCCGAAATCCGCGGCCAGGTGCTTCAAGAACATCTCCTTGTCGTAGGCTTTCTTTGCCGCATCGGCAGCATCAATGTCGATCTCACTTCGCAAGATCCTTAAGGTGGCGCTTCAAGCAAGTGTAGGCGGCACTTCTCCGGCCATGTGGGCATATCCCAAGAGAGCACCCCTGATATTATCTACCCCATGGCCCAGAAAAAGAAACCCCTTTTGACTATAAGGACCCCTCCCCCCCCATCCCCCAACAAACACAAAGGCACCCTGCTGCGAAACCCTTACCGTGTGTATCATTGTGAAGCCCTTGCAGCACAGGTCACTCACTCCTCACACTGACCGCTGCCCACTCTGGGGGCTACGGTTCTCCCTTCAAGCCCAGGCTTGAATACACAAACATCAGTAGGAGGTTGCTCTTGTTCTTGCGGGCGCTCTAAGCGTTTAGGGTTTAGGGTTTAGGGTTTAGGAGAAACAGGTTGCCCATCCCACCCCTCAGTAGACCTTTCCAAGCGACGCCAAGAGGTGCTGCGCAACTTTCGGGTGATCTTTCGCGATGTCCTGACGCTCCCAGGGATCCACGGACAGATTGAACAGCTGTGGCGGCCACTGCCTGCAGCAGGCCAAACGCCCTCATGTGTCAAGGAACTTAAAAACGGGGTCGGGGAAGAATTTCGGGGGTTTGAGTCATCATTCGTTGGATGTTGGGACTTTAAAGGCTATAATAAAAATGGCTCCAAAATGGGCTCCAACTCTAGTATTCGCCGACCTCCGGCCAAGACAGCTGCAAGCTTGCAGGTACCCAAGCCCTACCATCATGAGAGTGTCAAAAAAGAGCCCTAAAGCCCTAAAGCCCTAAATCCCTAAACCCTAAATCCCTTCAAGAGCACCCGGAGTCCATCGGACATCGGGCCGAGGCACTCGCCACTGAGCAGCGGAGCATGGTGGATGTACTTGAGGTCGCCTTGCCGAACCATGTAGGTCCCGGTCCTGAAGGCGCATGCCCACGGGTGCCCATGAGAGAGCCTAGACCCAGTTTTTTGGCAGCTTCAGATCGTGCGTGATCAAGCATTCGCACGAAAGTCTGCATTCACGGAGTGGTGCCTGGAGTACGAGTCATGGTACTCCGCGACTACCTGCAGGGGCCAAGAATTGCAGGGGCCAAGAATGCCGTGAAGAGCTCTTCCTACTGACATGACAAGCCCCCCAACCCTAAACCCCAAACCCTGTAAACCCTAAGCCCTAATTAAGCCCTAAGCCCTAAGCCCTAAACCCTAAACCCTCCCCTCAAAGCAGGAAAAGAAACGCGTCCCCGTGCCCAGGCACGTGAAACTTGTTCCGGCCATGGCCCTGCGCCGCCGGAAGCAGCGACTCGCCAAGCAGGTGAGGCTCCCGGGGCCTCTGGCAGCAGATTTGGAGGGTTTAGGGTTTAGGGTTTAGGGTTTATAGGGTTTAGGGTTTAGGGTTTAGGGTTTAGGGTTTAGGGTTTAGGGTTTAGGGTTTAGGGTTTAGGGTTTAGGGTTTAGGGTTTAGGGTTTAGGGTTTCGGGTTTCGGGTTTAGGGTTTAGGGTTTAGGGTTTACCTTGTTGGGGTCCTCGCTATAAGGGGATCCTACAAATTGAGGGTCTAGATTTTTTAGGGGGTGCCTCATTATCGTAAACTTGCTTAAGCTGCAGGATGCAGTAATTAAGAGAATGTTGTTGCGGCCAGCTAAGGCAGGAATCCAAGTCTGCGACGCTTCAGCTTGGAGAGCTTGCCGAGAACGGGAAATTGACAACGGGAGAAGTTTAACAAGACTGAAGCCGAATGTCAGTAGGTCATCCGAGATCCATGAGGCACCACACCTTCTTCGTCCATCTGTCCGTGCACGGGAGAACGTGTTTCGCAAGCTACCATCCTGCCCGTCATACACGCAGCCACCCCCCTCAAAGCACCCGAAAATCGTTGCAAGGGCCGCCTAAACCCCCAAAACTCGGGTGCTGAGTCGTGGGTACTGGGGCTCCCACGGAATGCCAGCCATGTCCAGTACCGTCGGGTAGATGTCCTAAGCCAGTCGCTACTGTGGACGACAAGGATCCTGGAGGAATTTCTCGCGCTTTCGGGGGTGCACACCCGCCATTCAGCCAAGAACCCCAAATCCACACCAGGACCTAAACTCCCCACACAGCTGGGCAGAAGAACTTTCATGCCGAGCAGCATGAAGTGAAGCCACCTTCAGCCAGTGCAGGCTTCGGGTCTTGAAGCACAGCGAGCTAAACTTCGCCGGACAGCTTGGACTTCTGACTTGTCTGCTGTCTGCTGTAGGCAAGTAGTGGAGCCTCAGGTTCTACAGGTACCAGGTACCAGGTACCATCGTGCCTCCAGCACAAGCAGATCTTCAGGTTTCCGAAAATCTAACAGAACCCTAAGGCCCTAAACTCTAAAGCGCCCAAGAACACAACAAAAACCCCGGCGAATGTTGCACCTGGTGGATTCTCCTCGGCCGCACCCCGGGGCCCGAGATCATGAGCGGAACCCGCACAGATCCCTCCAACCTCGGGGGCACTTTGAGAAGGTGTTCTTTTCCGCCTTTGCGTCTGTGGGTGTGGTTACTTCTGAAATTTGTGTGAGGGGAATTCCCAACACCACAAACACCGGCTAATCCGATGGGATCATCTCAGGGACGGCTTTGTTTTCATCGCTCCAGGCTATATCGTGCCTCTGAAGGCGTTTAGAGCTCGTAACGTGTGGCATTGCAGCAAAAGAGCTGCCCGGCTTCTGGCTGCTGTTTTACGCAGAAGATACGCTACAACAGTTCCAGAGGCAACACAAGCGACCTCGGCCAGCACTCTGGGAAGGGTATTTTGCAAGTATGCTAATTCTATGGAACTGCTGGGTGTCCGGAGGAAATTTCGGCGTTCGACTGTTGCGAGGGAGAGCGATTTCTACAAGGCGCGTGAGTTTTGAGGGCGGGCAGACGAGATGCATGGAGCTTTTCTGCCACTGTCGGTTCTCCAGCGCGTGATCACCATGATCTGAAAGCATCACCTCAGGAGACTTCATTTCGGATACTGCTTGAGAAGTCCCCTCAACCCCCCTCAACCGAAACCCTGAACAAGGAAACGTCGAAAGAGCTCCAGGTTACGGTACGTAGGTTCCGGCCTGGGTTCATGCCTTCATCTTCTCATCTCTGTCCTGTTTGGTTGCTAGTTGCTCCGACAAGAATGTTAGCCAGCGGGCTGCTCACCTGGCCATGCTTTGGTTTGTGAGCGCGTTCTGTTTTACAAAGAGCCCATCCTTTAAGGCGGCTTTGTAAAGCTTCAATTGCGACTGAAGTGCCACATAAGCGTTCTGGTCGCTTCCACTGTGCCGCAGGGCAGACAGGATCTGGCCGAGGAGTTTATCCGTCTCCACGCACATTGCCTTGGCAATGGTAAGTTCGCTGCAAGGCCGCCTAGCGGGCTACCATTCGTTACCCCATTGAAGCAGGCACTCTCTCTACGCTCTATGCTGCACATTGGGGAAGGATTGTAAATCTGGAGGGTGTTAGCTGCAAGAGATGGCCGAAAAAGGCAGCGCATGTGTAAAACTAACATAGAGAGAGGAGAGAGGGAGAGAGAGAGAGAGAGAGAGAGAGAGAGAAAAAGAGAGAGAGAGAGAGAGGCAGAGAGAGAGGGAGAGAGAGACGGAGAGAGAGAGAGAGAGAGCGAGCGAGAGAGAGGCACACAGACACACGTCGGATCAACGCTACAGGCTGTAACGTAGACAGCATTTTTGTTTATGGTCTCAGGCATCGGAGAGCCTCTTGCCACAAGATTACAAGACTCCGAAACGCCAGCGCTGCAGACATTTTCATATTCGGGGGTTTTCATGCGATTGCTAATTGGCTGTTTCATTTCGAGGCTTCCACACCTGAAGCTTCGCTCAAGTGATGCAAGCCAGGCGGCAAAGTAGATGCGGCGAAAGTTTTCGATGAGCGCCGGTCGGACTTGATCCAGGTCAAAGGTGCCCTGAGAAATGTGACTCAGGGTTCAAGCACTGGGAAACCTTCTTCACCATGTAGGACATAGTCCGACATGGGCTGAGTGTTGGGGACCTCTCACTCCTGAACATTGCTTCGGGCCTGGGATAGACTCTGAGACTAAACCCTAAACCCTAAACCCTAAACCCTAAACCCTAAACCCTAAACCCTAAACCCTAAACCCTAAACCCTAAACCCTAAACCCTAAACCCCAGACCCTGTTCCACCTTCGCCTTGGCAGCGTAGACGTCTGCAGGGTGCATCTCTTGCTCACTGACATACTTGGGCACGGCCTGGATGATGGACGGAGGGGCTTCAGATGGGCTCGACACAGCTTGCAGCGGGCACATTTCAACAAAAGGCGAGGACCTCAAGTCAGGACCAACGGCCTATAAGCCCATGATTCCATTGATGCTGTTGGGGCTTTGGTGTACACCCGAGACACCGACATGCGTGGCTAAAGCCACCAGGGCACCAAGTCGCCCAGCGGCGGCACGGCGAAGAAGTAAGTGGAGTTAGTTTGATATGGTGGGTGCGGAATGGTGAAGGAGCAGTACCTGAGCCAGGATCCATGGATGTCAAGCGTGCAAACTGCTCTTCTCTTGGATGGCCCTCGCTTGGAAGGCTTGAAAAGGTCTATGGCGCGCCTCTTTCTCCTTTCAGGAATTAGCCTTCCCGCATGGTAGAGCTGTCAGTTTCAGCAATTGCTAGCGTTGAGGGTGTGCTTTTGTGAGCGTTTGCTTTTTGCCGCGCCCTGAGCTTGCATCCCTGCCCCTCCTTAAGGGTTGTTCCGGCCCAATCGCCCGTATTACACACATGCAAACAGACGTACATAAATACATACATACATACATACATACATACATACATACATACATACATACATACATAACTACATGCATAAAATATACATATATAATTATATATGTTCTATAATATATTTAATATGCATATATATATATATGCATATGTGTGAGACGGAGAAAGAAAGGGAGCGTCTCTACTCGGAACACACTTTAGGGCAACATGAAGGCACCTGACGCCTAGTTAGATGATTTTGTTCGGCAACCAAGCTTCACCGAACAGAAGTGATAAGGGAATGAAGAGGCACAGTCACAGCCTGTCACCTTTCTTCCCAGGTGCAGAAACTGTGGTGTGGAGGAGTGGAAAAGCCCGGCTTGCAGCAGGCTAGCGCAGTTCTCGGCGGTGATGTAGTCATAGTGGCCTCGCCGGATCAGGGGCACCCATACCAGCCCTGACATGCGATGTCCGGTTTCCTGGAGAGTTCAGAGAGGCAGTGTTTGGCTAAGAAGATGGAGAAGCTCTGGAGTTGGACCTTGCAATTCCAAATGGTGATGTCTAGAAGCTACATCCAGAGGTGTCTTTCTCAACCCCATGAACCTCCATTGAGGGTCTTCGAGGGTTTTTAAAAGCCCGGCACCTGGTGCTGGCGCCCTGAGGTCAGTCGGACGGTGAAGCCATGTCGTGGGATTCCTGAGGCCGTACAGCCGTACATTAGGGCGCCCATGATTTCGTTGCTCGGCTTCTCGGGCCTGAACGCGGCCTATGTAAGGGGCCTTTACGCGCCTGGCTGCGAAACCTCAACCATTCTAACTCACAGCTGCTAACCTTCTAGCTTACGTCCAGCTGCCGCCCTGTTCCACCTGAGTTTAAGATTATTTTGGGGAGAGGCGGCAGGAAAATCGCTCCAGATGGACATCGACAATTGACCTGTAAGCATGCAAGAAATGTCATATATGACCGATGAGGATTCTCTGAATTGCATTGGCCATCTGGAACAGTGCAAATGGACGGAGCGGAACATGATCGGTCACATGACTCAGTTTCATGCGTGAGTTGTGCCAGGCTAGTGGCGGAGAGAGTGGCTTCTCCCGCAGTATTACCTACCGTTCCAAGAGAACCACGTGCATGTCCAAGATGTTTCTTACCTGAACCAAATTGCCTGAATGAGACGCGGTATGTGTAGGAAAGGTAAGGCCCGCACTGGTCTTTTCGCACCACGCCTTTTGCATATGTCGGCTTTGTGTCGGGCAGTGGGGGCTCCTGAACTACTTTGCTTCGGGGGCATCAAAAAAGGTGGCCTAGGCAAATGACCAACAGAGGTGGCTTGCAAACTGGGCTTGCGTGGACAGCCACACCTGCCGTCTACCTGCAGCTTACTATTTTCTACTGCACGGTTGAACGCTGGCAAACAGCTTGTAGGCCAGGTTCGCAGCGATAGGCATAGGCCAAAACGGGTACGGGCACAAATTACGTAGACCCACCGGCCAGGGTTGACGCAAAGCGTTAAAACATGTGAAAACCCACCTATAGTTCGGCTCACATCGGCACTGGAAATCCGAAGCCGACGCCTGTAGCCCGCGACCAAGCGCGCGCCGCTTGGCCGACTTTGCCTACACCCTTGAAGGGGTCCTGAGCATTTGGCAGAAGTTGGGACATCTCGGGTTTAAGGCGAAATTTTGAGATGCCTCTGAGGCACCCCTGTAGATTGCTTAAGTACCTTTGTTCGTCTGGTACCTTTGTTCTGACAGTTTCCTGGTTTGGGGCCTGGCTGCGGAAGAGAGAAGGATTAGGATTCCATGGTTTGAAGAAGTAGCTGAGGAAAGAGGAGATTAACACCCTCCAAGGCATGTCATGAACTAGAGCCAGGAGTAACCTGGGAATACAAAAGGGTGCCCTTTTGGTTTACAGGGGCTTCTAACCCTAGAGACGGGAATAAGAGCCTACTCTGAGTCCTGGGTGAATGCCCTTGTATTTGGTGCACCACATCGACCCACTTAAACATAGAAAACCGAATGCAGGAAGCTACGGAGCCATCTCATACCATCTGCTCTCTCCCCACCCTAACCCTGGCGTCCGCACACGCGTGTAGGTCGTTGACGATACCCCCCGGCCCCCCCCCACCCCCAGAAGCGCAGGCAATCTGGGTCAAGGAGCGACGTCGTGCTTCCCAAGCCTGTCAAGCCCAGCACCTGCATGGACCTTCCAAGTTTTGGGTTCGTGGAGGTGGTCAGTGGTTGCCCGAAACTTTCTTGGTGAAAGAGGGGGTAAAGCGAACTCTCATCACTGCTGGTATTTTCATTCTTGGGGGTGGGATAAGGGGCACTGTGAAATTTGCTACTCTTATCCTTACAAAGTTATCTTGTACGAGCTTTGAAGAGGTTTCGGGCTCAGCGGGGGAAGCTCAATGAGTGCCTAACACCCTAAACCCTAAACCCTAAACGCAAAACCCAAGTGAGGCTCGGGAAGTGCCTCTGGTCCTTTCGTTGAGCTTGAAGTTCCGGAGAGCCCTGAACCCACACCTGAACCTTATGAGCCCCAATCCCCGGATAAGAGCCACAAACTTCTCTGGACTTCAACTGCTTAGGGTTTTGGAGTTTGGGTCGGGAGAAGACTGAGAATCGATAAATTCAACTGGAAAGCATCAGAAGGATGAGGACCCATGTAAGGGGCCTTCACGAAGTGGTGTGCATCACATGACATCACGGCAGGAAGATGCAAACGCAGTGGCATCAACTGTATATAGCGCTCCTTTCGATCGAAAAACCTCGCAAGCAACTTGTGGTCTCCGTTGCGAGTTTGAAACGGTTGACCCGATTCATGCAAAAAAAGTGTACGTACAAGAACAGGTCTGCTTGAATTGAAGGCGTGCAAGGCCTTGCCCCACATCGTGATGTTGTAGCCGTGGTCTGCCAGGACATCTATGAACGTGCCGCTAGTGTTCTGCTTCGCCGCGACCGCCCGACACTCCTGCCACAGTGAAAGCAGACAAACGGTCAGGGTCTTGGCTTTCGATAGCAAAGGCAATTCCAGTGAAAGCAAAACAAGAACAGCCCAAGGCAAAGTGAAGCCTCCGTAATGAACGGACTCTGCTGATACCCAGGGCTCGCCCGTGAGAACCCTGAACCCTGAACCCTAAACCCTGCCTCCAAGGAGAAGGCTTCGACGCAGCGCTGGTCGACGTGTGTGCGGGAGCCATTTACCCGAGCCTCACAGCAGGAGGGATCATTGCAATTTGCCCTAAACCCTAAACCCTAAACCCTAAACCCTAAACCCTTCGAACCCCTCTAGGGTTAAAATCTACCTAAATCCTAAACCCCTATAGGGTTTTTTCTACCTAAATCCTCAAGGGGGATTCTTAGTCGCGACTCCAACTAATGAGCTGGATCTTGAGGACTTGGAGCATTGGGCCTCCTCTGGCCGCTGGCGTGTTGAAACCGTGTAGTAGGTTTATGATTTTAGGTAGGGCTCTATTGAGGTTCCCTGGTGCAAGGAGGTCCGGGAAACGTTCGGTCTGCGGTCCCTCCCTGACTTTGTCCATCTTGTGTTGCTGGATAATGCTGCCTGCTGTGTGCTGCACTTTGCGCTTACTTGCGACTTTATCTATACCCTACAGCACCGTATCTTGCCCACCACTTCTCAACAGAAAAAGAAGCTGATCGGGCGAGCATGGGCGAGCCCTGTGACGAGGGCAAACATGCTATTGGCAGACATTCTTCACTCCGCAAGGACTGGCAAGGACCTGTGTCATGCGTGCTATCATAGGCACACAAGGCCAAAAGCGGGCCAAGGGGGGATAAAGTATGGGTCACAACAAATCTAGCACCCATATCCTGCCACACTGCTCGGGGGTGAAGCTTCACGTCGGGAGCCTACACAGAGTGATTCTGCGTGTCTCGTGCTTCAACCAGCGAGCCCATATTATCACAGTCTCTTTCCGTAGACTCTGCCTCGTTTTGGGGTGTTTGTGGGGAGGCTTTGGCTGATTCTTGCCACGGAGCGATGCCCATGAAGTTATCCCACACTCGGATTTGTGATACAGATCTGCCAGTGAGCATGGATGCACCTCAGGGCACGCTTGCACAGGGTTATGACGATGGGACAGAAGTCTGACTTGACCTGAGTTCCAGTAGTGTTCCACGAGAGTCCTGCTCTTGTCTTGCAAGATCATCTTCGAGAATCAGCTAGAAGCCTCACATATGGAAACTCGTGACTCGCCGAGAGTGAACCCTCCCACCTCCCACTTCACCCCCCGCCCCCCCTCCCCCCTCCCATGCAGATTCCAGATCACAGGCGATATTGGCTGGGTCTTGTAACATAAAGGCTTGCAAGAACAGGAGTCCCCTGTGCAAACTCCTGCTTTTAAGCGCCCGGCGTGCGGGCACACAAAGCGGCGAAGAGGTGTAGGTGTTGGCAAACTGGGCGCCTTTCGGAAAAGCCATCTGCAGTTTGAAGAGCCAAAGCCGGATACAGGTAGAAATGGCACCATCGTCAACCGGGCGATCTATCTGAGTCTTCTTAAGGTGCATTGCATTGCTGCTGCAGGAAGTGGGAAGTGGCCCCAGGTACATATGCACCAGCCGAGGAATGAATTCTCACGCACCTTATGGTGCGTTCCAAGAAGTTGCAGACCCCAGCACCCGCCCCAAACCCCAGGACCCATCAACCACCTTGAAGGTCTTTCTACTCCCACATCACGAGCCCAGCTGCTGTATCTGATCATTGCCATGCAGAAGGGTGTTGCTGATACCATTCTCGTCTTCCCTGTGTGTGTGTTCTAAACCCTAAACCCTAAACCCTAAACCCTAAACCCTAAACCCTGAACCCTGAACCCTGAACCCCAAACCCTAAACCCCTTACATGAATGGCCCCTGCCAATGCCTCTCTTGGCCAGTGCCTGCAGGTGCTTCAATGGAAGCTTCACCTGTGGAGATTCCTCATCCAGCAGCCGGCCATCCATCTCCTGAGTGGCTTGCTTAATATGCTTTACCTTTGGGGTTCGGGGTTTCAGGTTTAGGGCCCTTTAGTGCCTAAACCTTAAACCCTAAACCCTAAACACTAAAACCCTAAATCTCAAACCCTAAACCCTATAAATCCTAACGTCTGCCTAGCTGGAGCATGTTTGAGTAAAGCGAAATTCAACGCATTGCCACTCCCACATCCCCATCGCCTGTTTTGGGGGATGCCAAGCCTGGAGTCGGTGATTCTTCGTATTTTCACGACATCTTGAAGTGCCCTTTGTGCATTGTGGGGGCTGCTGAACACATGTAGGATTCCCCTCCACCCCCCCCCCCCCCCCCCCCCGGACGTCCCTCGCCCAAGGGACACTAACAACCCTCATGCAGCTTATGGTGCCCACACCTAAACTACACCTGGAAGTATGGGACTTAAAGCTCAGTTTCGTCGACCATGAGGAACAGAATGTGCGGCTTTGACCTGCGCTTCCACGCGCCATGTGCAGCACCAGTCCAGAGAGAGGCCTCGGCCACTGTCGTTCTGGTGGGGGAAGGGTGAAGGCTTGAAGCGTGAAGCTTGAGCACAGCACCTAAACACAGACTACAAACACAACTAGGCAACCATATCTTCAGAGGCTGCTCTAGGCTACGAAAAGCTTCGCAGCCGGTGCTTGATCATCTGCAGTAAGGGCGGCACCAGCAGCAGGAGCCACCTTGCGGCCATCCGAGGTCTACATGAAGCCATGGTTAGAACGTAGGCTGTGCGCCATTGCGCACGCCAGGCAGGCTCAGGGCCAACATGCCAGCGAGCTGAATCGTGAGAGGATATGCAGTGAGGATAGCACACACACACGTCTGTATTTGGTTTGTGTTAGGCAGAAAAAGCTACAGGATTCGGGCCCTGGGGTATGGACGGTGTAAGCTCACAGCGAAGAGGAAGGCCTGCAATCTCCAAAGACCACGGTACCCAGGGGCAGCGAAATTCGGGGCCGGCATCTGCTGAAGCACTGTAGCTACAAGTTTCGCCATCGTATAAGCTTGCACATTCAAAGACTGAAATTCATGCAATACCGATGTACTTTCGTGCGGGGGATGTCGATGGATGGCTAGATTGGGGAGGGATTCAACAGAGTTCGTGTCTGTTCCACATGTTCCACTGCACGTCTGCACGCAGAGATGCTGGTGTCTGCACATCTGTGACACCTTGGCAGATTACTCAGATTCACCTTGCTCGATGGGCGACAGCTCGCACCGACGTTGTCTCGGACAGACATCGGTGCCGCGGCCGCGAATCGGGGAAAGTGCTGTGCGCACAGCCAGCATAGCAGATTCAGCCACGCAGCTGAGCGAGAGAACATTAGCAGGTGTGTTTGTGAAGCACTCGCTTCTGGAAAAAGTAGCGCCGCTTTACATGGCCCCAGCTGAGCTGGGGCAAGATGAGGATGTAGTGTCCCACTGGGCCGACCGTGCTTGTGAAGGCCAAACATGCCAGGAGGATGGAAGCTGGAAGCAGAAGCCCCGTAAAGTCCCAACTTAACAGGAAGATCAGAGATTGGAAAAGCTCCGTCATCCGGTCTCGGAAGAGGAAGTGGATGACATAGCAACCGAGCGTCGTGTTTCCCCACCATCTGGCGCTGACTGACCAGTAAGAAGTACCCAAAGCAAAAAGGGCCGGCTGCAAGGTTGTAGCCGCCAGCTCCACAACAAACCAGTTTGTATCGGCTCCACTCTCAAGCATGTCATTGGGGTAGTGGAACAGGGCCATGAACATACCTGGTGGTGACACATCACCCAGTGAGCTACTCTCTTTTCTCCATCTTCAACGAAACAATTGACGATCTTAAGACTCTTGAAGTCTTCTTTTCTCCCCCCCCCCCCCCCAGAATCGCAGGTTTGCTCCATCCTATCAAAACGAACTCTGAGTAACCCGAGACCCTAAACAACTACAACTATGACACATGATGCAAAACTTCTGCAGCCGGGCTGCCCAGTATCATACTCCCCGCTGTGGCTGCAGACGCCCAGGTTGGGCCCCGTGGAAGCCGTGGGGATAGCCAGGCAACGATGCGGCGGAGGTAGTGGAAGCAAAACCTCTTCCAGAACTTCTCAAGGACTTTTAGGGTTTAGGGTCCTAGGTTGTCGCATCTCAGCATCTCTAAGGAAGGTTGGGCGACTATATCGCAATGTGAAGGATATGCATATAGACCCGCGCCAATCTTCGACAGTCATTATGTTACATCACTCCTGCAGCACCAAGCCAGGAAGCACGTAGAAAGTGGCGTACCACTCAACCCAGCGAATCCACACCCAGCAGCCGTCCAGGAACCACGTGACAAAGAACCTTTTGGCTTTCGAACAGCGGCAAGGAAAGTCTCTACAGCAAGTTCAGCAAGTTCATTGCGGCTCGTTTTTTCGCCCTGTTGTCAACCTTCGGGCGTCGGGGGGGGGGGGGTTGCGGGTTCAAGGTTGGGATGTACAGGACTGCTTACCGTTGGGGCCTCTCTTGTCGGATGAGTGTCCGAGGTTTGGCTTCGGGCTTCAGAGTATTTGGGCTTGGCTGCTCTCACTTAACTCTTGAAGTTAGGCGCAAGGGCTGCGTGTTGCAGAGAAGGCTGAAAGGTTTGGAGGCTTCAAAGGCTACAGCATCTACTCGGAGTGTACTGGCGTTGGTGCCGTTAGCCCCAGATGAATCTTACGATTGGTCGGAGGGAGAAGGCGTCTCGGCCTCGCCATTAGGCCGACTTGCTGTGATGTGCTGTGATTCCTTCGTGGGCTGTTCTTGCACCCTCAACAGCATTTTCCCAGGCAGGTAGGCAAGAAGTCGGCAAGAGCTGCAATGCAAACACTGTATCCTGCAGTTGTGACGCCTCATTGCCGCCTCATTGCCTCGGACTGTCCAGCGTGAGCGAAGTTGGGCTTGCTGGTACCACACTGAAACTGCGCGTCAGGACCCCTAGAAGTCAGCAGGCGCGGTAGCGGCTCAGCGGGCATAACCCAGCGAGGAGCAAACAGTTGCCAAGCAGGATCACCCCCATCGAAATGGTAGATGTTGGCCGACAGCTGCGCGAAAGAGTCGGAAGTTCGCACAGCCACATTCTCTCCACACCAGATGCGGATTGCAGCGGCGATCGCTTCGCAGCAGCGCTCGCCACAGATCGCCAGGGGGTGGCGTCCAGGTGCAGGGACTTCGTGGAATTCTGCCTCTGCGAAACTGAAGACGATCACACCTTCACCTTCCGGCGCAGTCACCACTATGGGGCCGCGCTCACCTTGCAGCTCCACCAGCAAGAGCAACAAGACCTCCTGCGCACGTGGGAGAGCCATCTTCAGCTGCTGCCGCAGATGCCAAGCTTGGCCGAGCTCATGTGTACTGTTCACCATCCTCACAAACACGCGCGGGGCCGCCGCCGGCACATCGCCCTGCCCAAGAAATCTTTGAGCTCGCCGTCTCATGTCATCGTGCGTACGTGGATCCTCCAGGTTGGCATGCCAGAAGCTGCCTCCCCAGCATGTTCCCAAGAACACGTCGTGTTCCTCCGCACACCGACGCTCTGTGTATGTCAAGAAGTCTTGAAACCCCACATTGATGCAGTGTACGATGCCCTGCAAGGAGCTGCGCGTCCAGTCAAAAGGGTAGGACTTCTTTCGTAGATCCAACAGCTGCAGTGCGTAGGTTGGTGCACAGTAGCAGCCAATACTCACAAACTCGGTGCGGTTGATGAACTCCGCGGCTTTCACGCCGTGCAGATTCAGAGCACTCCGGCGCTCCGGCGGCGTCATTTCCGCCCTGAAATGGCAGGCGTGCATGCTGGGATCCTCCAAGTGTGCATCCCATTGAGCTTGCGACGGCACCTCGCGAACCTCCGGAGGTGGCTGGGGCCGCCACTCGGGAGCAGAGGCACTCAGCGTGCTTAGCGAACTTAGCGTACTCACGGTTTCCAACGCGTCGGCCGCCTGGCCCTTGTCGACCGTCTCCAACTTTTGGACCGTCTGCGCCTGATCCTCGTTCGAGTCAGGCACGCTAACCTCATCGCCGTTCGCCTCCTCCAGCAAGTTCCAGATCTCCGGCCCCAGCAACTTCCACAACTTCTCGCAGGCAGAAAGGAATTGACATGCAGTGACACCAAATCCCATCGCCGGCAGCGCCACAGAGGTTGCAAATGCTGCCGATGCTGATGCCCAACCTCCACCTGGCGCAGCAATTGCAGCAAACGAAATCGAAAGTGGCAGCGCGTCCATCACCATTGCTGATGTAATCTGGACGTGATGCTGCGCCAGTTCAGAAACTCAGGGCACCCCTCTAGACAGGAAAGGCGTCCTAGTACAAAATCAAGTTGTCATCATGGTGATGAGTGCGTTGTGTCCCAGCTTGCTGGTTTGTGATCGCCACAAGTATGCCTAAGCCAGGGCGTGCGGCCTTTGCCTTTTTCTGCAACAGACAGACTCCTAAGATGCTTTGCATGCTGTAAGGTTCGCTGTAAGGGCGTCAGCTGACTGAGTGACTCTATAAGAAGCTGCATGGAAAGGAACAAGCCCTGAGCCACGGAGAAGAGAGAGAGAGAGAGAGGGACATGAAAGTCTGCACGCTGAAAACTCCCAAGAAGTGGCTTCACCTGCATGGGCGAGCCGCGCTCACGAGTCTGCCAGGCTTCCCAGAAGCTTCCCTTGCCAAGCGCCCCCAACCATCACCAACCGCACTCTTTGCAGTTCCAGCTCTCCATAGATGACCCTCCTAAACCCTCCTTGAAGCCTTCATAAACCGTGAACCCAAAACCGACCTACACCCAACTCCCACACATTGCCAGGTGGCTTGGTCACTGGTGCCAGCCCGCTGGTACAAATGTTCCCGCCAAACACTGGACCTTTGTCTCGGAGCTTCGGTGCCAGTATCCGGGTTTAGGGCTTTAAAGGCCTTGGGGTGTTTGGGTTCAGGATGCTTAGGGCTGGAACTTCGGGAGTGGGGGCCCAGGGCGTAGGGGTTTAAGCTGTCCAGCTAGTAGGATCGGTTTTTCGTTTAGGTTTCAGAAGCTGAGAAGTCCAGCATTGGTATAAGGCGCGGCACCCATGTAGCTCCACCAGGCGGCGAGGCCTACCTGTGCCCAAGCTGGGATGCAGAGGGCATCGCTCAGCACGACGTAGACCTTGGCCTGAACAACCATCAAGAGATACCATCGGTGGCCGGAGGTGACCTCAATGGCAGAGGGGCTTCAGCTTTTTTGAGGTGTTTGGACAGCAACCTTTTGCTACTCCTGTCTACGAGCAGCTGCTAGCTCCCTCAAAATAATGCCTGGGAACATCAGCCCACTCGATATACGCTTGGTCCCAGCCGTTGGTCTGCACTGCAGAAGCATATGCCTTCCACGTCTGCGTGGGATAGGCGAAGCCCCCTGTCAGCCAGCGGCACACTTGCGGTAGAGGCATCGCAATAAAGAGGTAGATGCCCAGGATGTAGAGGTCCATCCATGAAAGACGCAGGCGCTTTGCCTGGCCCATGCTGCTCGGACGGGAATCCTGATAAGCTCCGAGCATGATGAAGCCGAAGAGATCCTGGTCATTCCCGATGGATCCTGGGATGGCCATTTCAAAAACCCCCTCTGAAGAAATACTGCCCTGAACTATGATCCTCTTAAACCTAATTTTTAAGGGAAACATGTGCGATGTCTCAAGGGCCTACCTGGGATCGGAGAATCCCTGAATTATGATCCCTTAACCCCAATATGAAGGGAGAAATGCAAAATGTCCCAAGCACCTACCTGGGATCGGATAATGGCCTCCGACCATGGAACTACTCGGGAAGAGGCCAACGTGGTGCAGAAGGGCAAGGCCTGCATCTCTGTGCGATCGTTGGGGTCCGTGGTCATGGCGCACAGCGCGTAGTGGTCCAGGAGGACCCCGATCATCCAGAAGGCATAGCAGCGGTGGATGATGGCATTCTCCAGAACTTGCCACTTCGACATAGACCTGGCCACCAAACATGGTTAAGTCCACCCGGTCAATCACCCTACAAGGTCACAAGAGCCTACACATCTCGATCAGAACTGCGCGCTAAATGTTGGGATCTTAATTTGACATAAGCATGTCTTAGCAGGCCCAACTTTGGCTGCACTTAGGAGGGTAGTAAAAAACTAAACTTTTAGCTGCCTTGTTAAGAAATCCAATAAACCCAAACAAGCTAAAGATCTAAAGTTACAGTAAAGCACCACAAAGCAACCATCCCCTGCATGGCCCGACATCCGAAGGTCCCCCTAAACCCTGAACCCTGAACCCTAAACCCTAAACCCAAAACCCTTCTCCGGGCCTCATTTGGCCCAAGGAGTCGAGGACTGTCTGGGACGCCTCCATGACATGCTCTTCTGCCATCGACTTCCTTTCTGCAGGGAGCTTCTGTGAAAACTGAGAAGGGTTTAGGGTTTAGGGTTTAGGGTTTAGGGTTTAGGGTTTAGGGTTTAGGGTTTAGGGTTTAGGGTTTAGGGTTTAGGGTTTGGGGTTTGGGGTTTGGGGTTTGGGGTTTGGGGTTTGGGGTTTGGGGTTTAGGGTTCAGGGGCGACCGTTTCAGATGAAAGGACTTCAGGTTGGGCACGGTGAGCACGAACCCTATACCCGAAACCCTAGAGGTCGACGTTCGGGTTGCGGGTCCAGGGTTCCCCAAGGTTCCTCCAATGCAGGTTCGGGGCTCAGTAGCCTTTAGGGTTTAGGGTTTAGGGTTTGGGCTCGAGACTCGGTTTCCAGATGCGTGCGATGGACTTGTGTACATGAATGGGGCCCCCCCGCGTTGAGATGTTTGGGCTCGACCCTAAAACTTTTTTTTATGCAAATATATATAGCTCACCCCCCCCCAATGGACCCACCGCGGATGGCAGCCGAGTCCTAGCCAGATCAAGGCAAAAAACAACAAAACAAGAAACTAACAAAAACCAACAAACCAAAAAAAACCAAAAAACCAAAAAAAACAAAAAAAACAAAAAAACCATCTTTTCCAGAACTATGGGGCTGGGGCCTCCAAAAGATGGTTTTTTTGGTTTTCTCGAGAAAAAGATGGTTTTTTTGGTTCGAAACCATCTTTTTCTCGAGAAAAAGATGGTTTTTGAGCAGCCGCTCTTCTAAAAACCATCTTTTTCTCGAGATAAAGATGGTTTTACCAGGACAAGACCTCCAAAAACCATCTTTTTCTCGAGACAAAGATGGTTTTACCAGGACAAGACCTCCAAAAACCATCTTTTTCTCGAGAAAAAGATGGTTTTTCCAGGACAAGATCTCCAAAAACCATCTTTTTCTCGAGAAAAAGATGGTTTTTCGAAGAGCGGCTGCTCAAAAACCATCTTTTTCTCGAGAAAAAGATGGTTTCGAACCAAAAAAACCATCTTTTTCTCGAGAAAACCAAAAAAACCATCTCTTGAAGGCCCCAGCCCCATAGTTTTGGAAAAGATGGTTTTTTTTGTTTTTTTTTTGTTTTTTTGGTTTTCTCGAGAAAAAGATGGTTTTTTGGTTCGAAACCATCTTTTTCTCGAGAAAAAGATTGTTTTGAGCAACCATCCTTCGAAAAACCATCTTTTTCTCGAGAAAAAGATGGTTTTACCAGGAGAAGACCTCCAAAAACCATCTTTTTCTCGAGAAAAAGATGGTTTTACCAGGACAAGACCTCCGGAAACCATCTTTTTCTCGAGAAAAAGATGGTTTTTCCAGGGTAAGATCTCTAAAAACCATCTTTTTCTCGAGAAAAAGATGGTTTTTCGAAGAGCGGCTGCTCAAAAACCATCTTTTTCTCGAGAAAAAGATGGTTTCGAACCAAAAAAACCATCTTTTTCTCGAGAAAACCAAAAAAACAATCTTTTGGAGGCCCCAGCCCCATAGTTTTGGAAAAGATTGTTTTTTTGTTTTTTTTTTTGTTTTTTTTGGTTTTTTTGGTTTTCTCGAGAAAAAGATGGTTAAGTTTTAGGGGTTTAAGCCTCATGCACTACAGGGTTATAAGGTTCTAATCCTATAGGTATTGCCTTAACCTTTAACCCTAAACCTTTAACTTTAAACCCTGCAGGGTTAACCCCGTGAGAAATTTAGAGATAGACCCCGAAAAGACCCTAAACCTTCTTACAGGGTGTAATGGTTTAAAAACCGATAGGACATGTATACCTTCAGCGCCTGTAGGGTTCAAGCCTTTGAACGTGCTAGACCCCTATAGGGTGCTAAGGTTCTGACCCTAAAGGGTTTAGGATTAAGGCTTAAATGCCCTCTAGGTTTAAATGCCTAAGTCTTAAACCCCAAACCTTTAAACCTTCATCCTATGGGGTTTGAAGGTCAAGGGTTTAGGCTTGATTGCCGAGGGCTTTAGGGTCCTGACCCTAGAGGGTTTAGGGTTAAGGAATAGATGCGTAAACCTTAAACCCTTAAGGTTTAAACTCTATGGGCTTAGGGGGCTTAGGTTTTTTTAAACCCTAAGCCTTTAAACCTTCACACTACAGAGTTTAGAGGTGTTAAGGGTGACAAATTGATTACATACTTAGCTTTAAATGCCTGAATCTTAAACCCCAAACCTTTAAACCTTAACCCTATAGGGTTTAAAGGTTAAGGGCTTAGTGTTAATCGCTGTCTTAGGTTTAAATGTCTGAATCTTAAACCCTAAAACTTTAAACCTTCACCCTATAGGGTTTAAAGGTTAAGGGTTTAGGTTGAATCGTCAGCTTGGATTTAAATGTCTAAGTAAAGAATCCTAAACCTTTAAATCTCATCCCTATGGGGTTTAAGGTTAAGGGTTCAATATGAACTGCCGGCATAGGTCTAAATACCTAAACCTTAAACTTAAACCCCAAACCTTTAAATATCTTTACCCTATAGGGTTTAAAGGTTAGAGGCTTAGCGTAAATTGCCGGAATAGGTTTAAATGCCTAAATCTTAAGCCCGAAACCTTTAAACCTTAGCCCAACAGGGTTTAAAGGTTAAGGGTTTAAAATTAGTTGCAGGCTTAATTAGGTTTAAATGCCTACGTCTTATATCCTAAACCTTTAAAAATCTTAACCCTATAGGGTTTAAAGGTTAAGGGCTTGGCTACAGGTTTAAATGGCTAAATATTAAACCCTAAGCCTCTAAACTTTAACCCTACAGGGTTTAAAGGTTAAGGGTTTAAAATTAGTTGCAGGCTTAGGTTTAAATGCCTACATCTTAAACCCTAAACCTGTAAAAATCTCAACCCGATAGAATTTAAAGGTTAAGGGCTTAGCTTTAATTACCGGCATAGGTTCAAATGCCTAAATCTTAAACCCTTAACCTTTAAACCTTAACCCTACAGGGTTTAAAGGTTAAGGTTTTTTTTTGCAGGCTTAGGTTTAAATGCCTAGATCTTAAATTATAAACAAAAGCCAACAGAAAGAAAAACCCTCCGTGCGTGTGTGAGAGGGTGAATTAAGGAATACAGTCAAAAATCCGGTCACCGGAAAATCACCAGACAGCATAGGTTTTATCGGTATTTGCGGTACTTTTGCAAAGATCAAGGCCCGCGGTGGGTCCATATATAGAGACATACCAGCATATCATTATACATATGTAAAATTCCATATACATACATACATACATACCTACATACATACATACATATACATATACATATACATATACATATACATATATATACATACATATATATATATATATAGGGTGCATCGGAATATGGGTCCATGTTTTGGATAGAACTTGGATCGGGGCCCATGCAGGCCGAGAGGCAGTTGCGCGAAGTTCACCTTGCCGTTCGGGAGAGATGGCAGGCCTTGCAGGTTTAGGGTTTAGGGTTTAGGGTTTAGGGTTTAGGGTTTAGAACGTACGATTCCCCCACTTCCCGGAAAGAGTTTATGCCTACACCTCATCCAAAGAATGGGCTAGTGAAGGTAGCTGCCATTGGCCCTGAGTAATGTCGTTTCACGGAATCGACCCCCACGTGTGACTCGAAGAGCTCTGTTATGGACATGAACACATGATATGAAATGACCTGAGTTGATACTATTCTAAACGTAGATGGTACTGTGTACATTCGTATATATATATGTACACACGCACACTTTTATTTGTAAAGTATTGGGTTATATGCGACTTGGGAGTCAAGTTCAGGCTTACATTCGACGATGTGGTTCGGCGTTGAGGTCACCCCAGCAATCGGTTCGTTCCCCGCAAGTGCTTTCTGACCGTATTCGATGCCCCTGGTCGAAAAAACGACACCCAGAGAGTTTGAACCTGTGAACAAGCCCCAAGCAAGGAGAGCTTTTTTGAGGCCTTCCGGCTGGATCAGGATGTGCTTCGGAAGATAGGCGGGAGCCAACACCGCCCTGCAATGCTTCTGGAGGTCCTCGGACAGGAGCTCCATGCCCTGAACGGATCTTATCGGTTCTCTCTCTCTGTCTGTGGCGGATTCCTGGATTTTGTGGGAATTCTTGGACCGGTTGCGGGTACTCGGGGGCTGCGACGAGGATGAAAAATGCCCTCAACCACTCTTGCTTCAAAATCGCTGCCAGAAGACGGCTTGGCAACAACAAACCGCCATGGCTCTCCTTTCAAAGGCCTTCCCTACCACGCAGCAGGCGCCAGACTGCCAACAGTCGACCGTTGCCACCCCCAACGGACGCATTAGCCCACTTGCTCCGCTGTCATCCGCTTCGGCCCTGAAACGTGTTGGCCCAAAGGGTGGCAAGACTACTGTCGCACCAAGGTATGCGTTGCCCCACACCCGGCCAACGGTGTGAGAGGATGCTGGATGCGCTGAGCGCACCGGGCCTGGCGTCCTCTTTGGGTAGGGCGGTGGCGACAAGAGAAGCGAAGCACTTTCGCATGACAAACCTTTCATCGCAAGACGCACGCGGACTGCAACTCGTGGCACCCTGCTCTCATGCTCGGCTCCACGATCAGTAGGGGCCACAAGGCCTATTCAATGCACATTTTTTTGTATTTTGGGCAGCTTCCACTGAAACAACGTGCTAGGATACGGATCGGGGTATCTGTTGATTGGGTCCCTCTTTGGCCCTGGGAACACGAGTGAGGGAGCTAGATAGTTCCTTCACTGAAGCCCTGGCATTCTGTGATACTCTGCTGGAATCCATTTCTCAAACCGTTTTATTGGAATGCCGTAGGGTTGTCGGGTGTAGAGTGCAGGGATGAGGGATTTGGAAATCTATTGTCACCAAGGCTCTTCGAAAATTTGGCGAGAGTTGCTTACGACTAGCCTGGGGCTCCTGGGGCCCCGAAAACCCGGAAAAATCTCGTTTTTTTCTAGCTTTTTCCAGGCTTTTCTAGCTTTTGCTAGCTTTCGCTAGCCTTCTCTAGCCTTCTCTAGCCCAGATCCGGGCCCGAGGAGCCAGGGAAAAAGCCAAGTTCACTTCTGACTCTTAGGAAACAATATTCCTTATTGCATAGAAAAATAAAAATAACTAGGCCACACAAGCCTCACACCCCAACCCCACGCCCGTCCAACCGATGACTTAATTTTTGGACTACCTTTGCAGCACCAACAAACTGTAGTTACTTGAGCAGGCATAATTCACCCAAGGAAAATTGTAGCTTACACCAGCTTGTCATAGCAAAGTTTAGCTCTTCTTAGCTCTTCCTAGCTTAGCCTAGCTTTCTCAGATTTCCTGTTGTTTTCTTTGGAACGCTTTCGGTAATCTAGATTTTTCCCATCATGCATAGAGGGACCCAATCAGCAGATTACCCGATACGTTTCAATGAAATGTACAAGCAATCGGTTCAGGGTTCAGGGCTCAGGGTTTAGGGTGTGGATCTAGGCTGATCGCGCGGACTGACAAGAACAAGATCGACATCGACGACGACTACGACGACGACGACCACGACAACAAAAGTGACAGCGACCGACCGACCGACAAAGACAACAACGAACGAAGACGACGACGATGAGGATGAAAAGCCCTCAACCACTCCGACCGCTTGCTTCAAAATCACTGCCAGAAGACGGCTTGGCAACAACAAACCGCCATGGCTCTCCTTTCAAAGGCCTTCCCTACCACGCAGCAGGCGCCAGACTGCCGATATTGCACCAACAGTCGACCGTTGCCACCCCCAACGGACGCATTAGCCCACTTGCTCCGCTGTCATCCGCTTCGGCCCTGAAACGTGTTGGCCCAAAGGGTGGCAAGACTACTGTCGCACCAAGGTATGCGTTGCCCCACACCCGGCCAACGGTGTGAGAGGATGCTGGATGCGCTGAGCGCACCGGGCCTGGCGTCCTCTTTGGGTAGGGCGGTGGCACCAAGAGAAGCGAAGCACTTTCGCATGACAAACCTTTCATCGCAAGACGCACGCGGACTGCAACTCGTGGCACCCTGCTCTCATGCTCTGCTCCACGATCAGTAGGGGCCGCAAGGCCTATTCAATGCACTTTTTTGTTGGGGCAGCTTCCACTGAAAGAATGTACAAGCAATCTGGAGATGATGCTCGTAAATGTGTAGACTCGGTTCAGGGTTCAGGGTGGAGTTGCAATATGCTTGACAAAGCTCCCTTCTTTCGCCTCACCAAACCTGCCTCTCAAGCTCTCCCCTCTTAATCTACAGCTTTCCTTCCCGGCTAGGCCCAGAATCCTCTAACATCTGTGTTCTGACTGTGCAGGTGCACAGGCTCTCGCCTCCCTCCTCAGCTTATGGCTCCCCCTACACCCTAAACCCTAAACCCTAAACCCTAAACCCTAAACCCTAAACCCTTCAAGGCTTGACCGCCAGGATTTCGGGGCTGCGCCTCGCGAGGTGACACGAAGGCCACAAGCTGCTGCGGCGAGTCTGTGGCAACGACGGCAGCCCGGGCCACAGCCCACAAGGGCTCCTTGACTACAGGGTTTAGGGTATAGGGGTTTAGGGGTTTAGGGTTTAGGGGTTTAGGGTTTGGGGTTTAGGGCATCCCCCGGCTTGACATGAACTACTCAGGTGGGTCTGGTGCTATGAAGGACTGGAGTGGGGTTGGGGTGTCTCTGGGCTTACTGAAGCAGGAATGAGTAGGTTCGTTCTTTGGGCGTGCCGGGCGCGCGATGCCAGTGGAATGTTTCTACAAACTTGCGCTGGCCAAGGCGTGAGCAGCAAACTGCTGCGTCTTGATAAACGCAGGGAGCCGAACCCAAACCCGAACCGTGCCCCTCGTGCATCCCATCTCATACTACAGTCCCAATCTGAAGCAAAATTGCCACTGCAACAGCCCGAAACCCAACCTTGAATCCTTCGACCCAAACTCCAACAAGCTCTATTGGAAAAGACAACCTAGGCCATCGGCATGGACCGTGATAAACAGCCTGTGAACCTGCACGAGGCTTTGGGGTTCCGCCATCTTTGAGTCCACGTACCTGTGGAATGATTGCCGCCAAAGCTCGTCAAGGAGTGGACTGTTGCGCAAAGACTGAAGCTCCTCATCCCCCTGCAACCTTCCCAAGGCCACCTCAGCGGGTTCAGCAAGGGTGTGGGTTCTGCTGACTTCTGGCGGTCACTTCCCCGGCCTTCTTGGGGCTTCTTTCTGTTGATCGTGGCTGGGCAAACTTCAACAAGGCTGACTCGATCTCCTCGGGTTCGACGCGTACGCCGTTGACCTGGAGCGGGCGTGTATTGCTGTTGGACTGCTCAGGTGACTGAGGAAGAACTTCTTGCCTAGTCAACGGCATCTAACTCCAGACCAAGGGCAAGGTCTGGCAAGTCTCTCCCCTGACCCTAAACCCTAAACCATCCTACCCCCCTAAAGCCCTCAACCCTAAACCCTACAACCCCACACCCCAAACACATGTGTGTGAGCAGAGCAGCTCAACCTTTCCCTATTTCCTAACCCCCCCCCCCCCCCCAAATCCTAAACCACACCACATTGCCTGGCGATTCAAGTCAATGGTCATGGCTGCTAGAGGCAAGGGCAGTCGAGACACATATTATGAAGTAGGGTATGTCTGACATATTCTTGTATCCCCAAAAGGACACCGGGTATATACACTCACCACTATGTAAAGGGAATGCACTCACAAAAAAACAGCAATATAAACCCTACTTCACATATATCTCATCTCAAGTGAGCCTAGGTGCCCCACATGCTGTAGGGATGCCGTCGGGGTGAACCCTGAACCCTGCCCAATTCGAGCCTCCGAAACCCTTAAACCCCAAGCCCTACCTTATAAACCCTAAACCCTACACCCTAGAGCCTAATCCCTAAACTTTCAAGGACCCCACAAAGCCCACAGAGCCCGAAGAGTGCACGCTCAAAGCCCTCAATGGCCTTGAGCTGTCGATCGATACGGCCGATCACTTCCAGAACCCCCTGCAGGCTGGATAAGTTTAGGGTTTAGGGTTTAGGATTTAGGGTTAGGGTTTAGGGTTTAGGGTTTAGGATGGTTTATGGGGTTTCGCGTGAAGGGTTTAGGATCGCTTAGGGTTAGGGTGTAGGGTTTAGGATGGTTTGTAGGATTTCGCGTAAAGGGTTTAGGATGGTTTAGGGTTGAGGGTGTAGGGTTTGGTTTAGGATGGTTTAGGGTTCAGGGGTTAGGATGGTTTAGGATCGTTTGGGCTTAGGGTTAAGAGTTTGAGGCTAGGGGAATCTTCCGTATGTAAGGCTCCCCGAGGTATATGCATCTTCTGCTGCACAGTACAGGATTTCAATGTAGCCGGCTTTGCGGGAGTGTGGATTTGCTTGGGAAGAGTTCGGCATGTCTGACTACGCCTGCGTCCAACGACCCAGGTCTCCGGTGGCGTAAAGCCGGCCGTACTCCGTGTCAACGAACCTGGGGACCGGGTTTAGGGTTTACAGGGTTTAGGGTTTAGGGTTTAGGGGGTTTCATGGCCTTCGTGGTGTGGGCTCTGTGACGCTAATGTAGAAAAAGGTAGAACAACCCCCCACCCAAGAACAGAGTTCTTGGGAGCTGCCCTGTGTGGGATCAGCGGCTCAGCTCGACAAGGCTGAGAGAGCTCTCGGGGGATTTTCTGGGCTTGGGCATGAAGCGCCAAGAACCGATTTCAAAGGCCCGGAGCTTTAACCCCAAAGATTTCAGGACGCTTTGAAAGCTCAGAAACGAACAGCGTCAACAATGGGCTACTTGGGGGCCCACATGGGAAACTCCCTAAAACCCGAAAAGCCTTAAGCAACTGTACACCCTGAACCCTAAACCCTAGCCAAGCAGCTTCTCTTTGCTCAGCTCCGGGAGCTGCAAGTATCCGGAAGCCAGTACGCCGCCGAAGCAGATCCTTATTAGCTTTATGGCTAAGACCCTTTGGGGTTTAGGGTTTAGGGTTTAGGGTTTAGGGTTTAGGGTTTAGGGTTTAGGGTTTGGGGTTTAGGGTTTAGGATTTAGGGTTTAGGGTTTAGGGTTTAGGGTTTAGTGCGACACAACTTTGAGATGGTGGGTTTGGGCTTTTTACAGTCACGACGATATCCCTTCAAGGATGACTCTGCTTACTAGGACAAGGCACCGGCACGTCGATGAACATGATTCTGCTACTATAGAGCCTTGGGGACTTCGCAACTCTTCGGGCGGTGATTTTGGGGGTGTAGGGCTTGAATGGGTTTTTCGAATGCCTGAAAGGGTGCAGCCTTTCCCAATGAAGTGTACAGGTCGTTTCAAACCAGAAGTGTCTTGAAGCTGTGCTAGATGATGGCTCTTTACACCATTCTACAACCTCACTCAGAAACTTACCAGGCGAAGGCTCTCTCCAGGCGTGTTGGGTGCAGCCGCTTGCAATGGCCTCTCGTCCACGGCCATCAGGAACCTGAGTTGCCCGTATGGCGTGCGCAGCCGGGACTTTCTCGTAAAGAAGAGACCACTGAGAAGGGACTCCTAGAAAGGAGGAAATAGATGTGGTGTTTTCGGGTGCAGGGCTCAAGGTCTCACGATGAAGCGGCAGATCCGATTCTAGAGCCCGGTATCACAAACCTGAACCCAAACCCGTGGCAAAAAGTGGAACCCTCCAACTTCAGAATGGTTTACGAAAATAGGCGTACCTTATTAGGGTCCTGATTTTAAGGGAATCCTACTATTTGGGGGGCCTATTTTCGGGGTCCCCTAAGTGTCGTAAACCCCCATATCCAAACAAACAATCGGACTCCCACCGAGCAGCACGTCAGCATATGGCTGCGGGAGCCCAGCTGGTACGCGGCTGGGGAAGAGCTTCTCATCGACGCCCTGCTCCGGCACCTCGCAAGCATCCCAGGTGATTACGCGTTGCCCCCAAGTTGTTGTGGCTTCACTCTTGGGCACCTTCTATCCCCCTACACCCGCCCTTTCAGGGATTCTAGACTGTACATATTGAATTCCCTCACTCCATAGAACGAGTAAGCTATTGCTCTGGACCCACGCCGAAGCCTTGTAGATGGTGCAGGAACTCTCCGACGCTCCATAGAAGTTTCCTGAAGGGTTTTGTTTCAGGGTTCAGAGCTTTCGACCCAAGAGCCACCTAGGAACAAAAGGGTGCCCTGTTTGGTTTAAAGTGGCTTATGAGTGAACCGGAACCCCTAAAAAGAAGCAGAATATCGGCCCACCCTGGGTCCTAGGGGGAGGTCAGCGACCCTTGACTTTCCAGCCCTGGCTCGGGGCCAATGGATGTACAGGGCAGTTGCTTTGAAGTTCGGATCCCCCTTTTGTGGGGGAAATCTTGTTCATTGCATATAGAGGTTCTAGATACCCACATGATTCGGGGGAATCCTGATTTAAAGCAACCAGCCCATCGTCTGTCTAGACTCGGGCTTTCCAGAAACCCTTTGAAGGTGCAGCGGAGCAGCGGAGGGTGGCGGCGAGGTGCTTCGTGGAGACCACACGGTTGGCCAAGGCTGTGGGCAGAGGCTCACCCACAGTGGTGATGTGCTCGAGAGAGCTGAGCAAGCGATCACCCGCATGCAGTTGATGAACATCCAGAAGGAGGTCAAGGACCTGTCTTGAGTCAATAACACAAGGACAGCCAAAAGAAAAGCATGACCAGCTCTGGATTACCTGACGCCTCACACGGCCTGGCTTGATTGCACAGGGGCAGGGCAGGCAAACGCAACGCTCAGACTGCTAAGATCCTCACAGATGGAGTGATCATCAAGACGCTCACGTGGTGCTGGTGGACCACCTTCGCCATGTAGTCCGGGCTTTTGTGGCCGTCGCTGCTAGCAACAACGAGAGATCCGCCCCGAAGCAAAGCTGGAAAGAACTCCCACTCCATCACTGCCCAGAAGTAGGGGGACTTCAACAGTTGCACCGTGTGCTCTGTAACGCCGTGCTCTTCTGCCCAGAACCATGCTCCATGTAGGAGGTGGCGGTGGTCGTAAATAATACCTTTCGGTGCCCCTGTGGTGCCAGAGGTGTAGATGAGCATCGCCACCTCCGAGGTCGTCGGCCGCTTCCGCTGTGGCTGCTGTTGCGCAGATGCTGCCGGCGCATTGGTCACTTTGAAGGACATGGATGCCGCCTCAGTGCCGGCGAGGAGCAGGGGGAGGCCAGCCTCCCGCGCGAGATGCGTGAAACGGTCAGAGTCGGCAAGGAGCACCCGGGCCTGGCTATGCTGGAGTAGCACGGCCACCCGGCTCTCAGGCGCATCTGCATCGATCGGCAAGTAGCCCCCGCCGCTTGCAAGCACACCCAGGACTGCCACGACCTGGGCACAGCTCCGCTCCATGCAAAGCGCAGCGATCCGGCCGGGCTCCAGCCCCAGCTGCTGTAGGGCACTCGCCAGCTCCGCTACGGCTCCTTGCAGCTGCGCGTAGGTCACGAAGATGCTGGGAAAAGACGGGACGATCAACGCGGTGGCCTCCGCCGACTGCTCTGCCCGCTCTAAGATCAGCTCGTGGATGAGCTGGGTTTCGGGGTAACGGGGTCTTGGCCCCGAAGCCGAAAATGTACGCGACTCGAGATTCCCCATCTCCTCATCTGCTACTTTGACTTTGGCTGCCACAATCCTTTTCTGGCATGGATGAGTGCAAAAGTGCACGGATGCAACGATACCAAGCCAGACCGATGAGTACAAGAAGAAGAACACAAGCTTGTGTGGGAGTGTCCACGCAGTGTTCGGATCACGGTAGTCTGGCAGATACGGCCAGCCCAGTTCGGCTATTTGCTGCTCAGACTTGTACGTAAAGTTGAGCGCCGGTTGCGAGTCCTCTGCTTCTCCGCATGGGAGCAAAGCAATGCTCAGCAGCAAGCAAGGCAGTCGAGCCATGCTATGATATGGGCTACTGGAACCTAGCAGACGAAGTAGTACTTCTCAGATTACACCAGCTGGTTCTGGTTAGCGGCACCAGTACTTGAAGATGACTACGGCTACGGTCCTCATTTTAGTGGCAGGGGGCACTATAGGAATGATATTGCAGACTCTTGGCATTCGTCTCCGCCTTCTCCCCCAAGGCAGGAAGCTTGTCTGGGAACACTGCTGTTGGTTCACAAGCACAGGCTTCAACATCTGCGAAACCCGGTTGAACTCACAGTGTCCTGCTCATAACAGGGTGAGCCATTGTTGCTCGGTGAACTGCTACTTTCGTCCTGTGTGTGGTGCACCTTATAGCCCATTAGGCGAGTGTGAGCCCTAGCGGCTCAAAACTCCCGTGGTATCTGGATTTCAGACTCTAGGACGCATGTGACTTAGCTGGCGATCTCAAGGTACTCTCCTTTTTGTCAACGCCGGTGGAGTTGACGAGCCAACGGGGTGAAATACACTGGCCTGCAGGGGGATCAGGTCATGCAGGAAGGTTCCCCCCAAAAAATGCCGAATCACAGCCTGGCAGTTACTTCCGAAGATGCCATCCCGCACAGTCCCAAGCCATGCCCTCGTCGAGGATGCTTCTGTACGCAACCCAAGCCCCCAGAAGCGAACGTCGGCCGGCTGCGCCGTGAACTCTCTCCATGTTGAGGACGTTTAGGAAACCCGCGCGCTGGTAGCAGAGCAATGGGACGCGTCCTTCGGCGTTTGCAATCCAGCCTGGTGTGTGTTCAGTCCGAGCTGGCAAATGTGGCTGCGTGGTGCAGATAGCGGCCCAGGGGGGTGTTGCCTCAGTTGGAGGGGCCTTCGTGCAGAGAATCTGATACGGGGGCCTGACAGATTACATGACGAGGTCTAGGAACATGCTAGCGGCTAGCGTTGTGTTGGATCTTTGGATCTGGCTTGAGAAAAGACGTGAGCCGCCGCAGCAGCAGAACGGGGCAGTCGCCAAGCAAGAGCCCGAAACCCAAGCTCCCAAACACTCTCTCCCGGAATCAGCCAGTGGTTCCTACTCCTGCGTACTCACCCGCTGTTAATTCCTCTCCTGGCTACTGAATTGCAGCCGAAAGCGATCGGGGCTGTCCGTCACAGACACCAAATCATCCGAGCCTGCACCGCTGTTTTTGTTTCTCTGGGCTGGGCTTCACGCCCCCCAAACCTGATCCCAAGGACGCAAGATGGACCTGTTCCTGTGCTGAGGGAGTTATGCTGCTACTACCAATGCATGCTGCTGGCAGATTGCCCAATCTCGTCACAGCTGCCCGGCTATCTGCTGGCCGGCCTGGCCTCCATCGTCCCCTTCGTCTGCTCCGTACATGACCCGCGCCAGCAAGTTCATGAAGAGCATGCCCCAGGGCTGCACAAGTCTCGTGTAGCTTTGGGTTTGTTTGGGACAGCTGGGCATGTGCAAAAGACAAGTCTCTCCCTTTTCCAGTAACAAACCCAAGGCGTATATACGGGCCCTGCACCTTCAACCTTCGGCACTGAAAAAGCCAAGGACAATGCAAGCCACCATCCAGGTGAGGGCCATGTGCTCACCGTGTTGCCCCTTTTTCGGCCTCCAGAGTCTTTGTGCGCATCATGCCCACCCGTGCAGCTTCCACCATGCTCTGGGGCACCTTGGCACAACATGGACTCTTGTCGGCAGCCACGAAACCTGGCCCTGGACAGAAGCCGTACTCTTGCGCCATAGGAACTGGTACGATTGTGTGGCGTGTGCTGCTGGCGTGTGCTGCAGGCATGTGCTGCAGGCATGTGCTGCAGGCGTGCCCTGCCTTTCTTACCAATGTCTGGCGTTAGCGACTCGCATGGGGCCATGAGTTGAACAGACCAACAAGACATCGAGACGACCACTCGCTGCACCACAAGCTGCAGCCCAATCCGAAACCGGCGCCTAGATGTTGAAGACGCCCCATGACCCCAGGCTATCCTAACTGCAGCTTCAACTCTGGCTTCAACTTTGGCTTTCGTCCCAACAAGCCCCGTGTCCAGAAATGCAGCCCACGGCGCAACTTCGCCGAGAACATGCGCAGTCGCCATGCGCACGACCAGCACGAGATATGCAAAGTCTGGCAAGTTGCGGGGCCGGTGCTATGAACGTGAAGAGGATTTGATGGTTTCCGAAAATTGGGGTAACCTTTTGGCTTCCTACAACAAGGATTACGCTACTTCGGAGGAATACGGCTGTATAAATTGGGGTACCAAAAACTTTTGGGAACTACCCGAACACAAATTCACAAGTCCTGAATCCCCTTCCCCATCCTATGGCTGCCATTCTCCCATTGCCAGGAAACCATCCACAAGGCTGAGTTCCGAGTCGGCCCGTCCGCGGTAGGCGAGCGAGGCTCCTCCTGCTTCAGGCGCCAAAAGAACTTCCGGGGTTTCGTACGTATCGAAAACTGCAAAGTGATGCTGGAAACATAGGATACCTTTGTGGAGCGATACAAACCCTAAACCCGAAGCCCTCAACTTGCCCTCAACCCTGAACCCATAGAGAGGTGACCTGGCATGCGCTTCCAAGGGCACGATGCTAAGGCTGTGTGTAAAGGGGGCGAACTTGGCAATCACGGCTTCTATGTTGGCTGGTCACTGAGAAGCATAAGACTCAGATTTTAAGGAAAAGACCCATGCATCCTTGCTCTCTCTTTCAGGCGTCTATGAACCAAAGGCCCCGATATGAAGGTTACAGCACAGGCTACAAAGAAGATGAACATTTACCAGTTCTCGGCGTTCTTGCTGATTAGATTTCACATATTGCAGATGGAAGGAACTCCACCTGAAAGAAGTTCAGAAGAGAAGGGACCATTGAAGGAATGTATTTCTTGATTCATGTCCAACAGCTTCAGCTTCGTACAATGCAATATCTTTGCTCGGGCTTTCGGACGGCTTTCATTGCTTAACGAATGTTTTCTGGGTCTGCCTAGTTCATGGAAACGCTCCTTTGATTAGAACACCACCCGCACTAGTAATTAATTCGTGAAATCGAAAGGTGGCGAGCATGCAACATTCATTTCTTTCTCGCAATATAAAACCGTAAGCAGTGAAGTCCGCAAAAAGGAACCACATCTAAGTAGAGAGGGATGCCTGATGCTATGAAACTATCCGTATTCTTGGGAGTTATTGCCATCTGACCGCCCGTGAGTCTAGGTTTTTTAGACACGTTCAAGCCCAAGTTCACAATCATCAGTTTCTACGGGAAGCACTACACATGTCAGCCAGCAAGACCTCCGCCGATAAGAATAGCACGAATAGTGGCAGACACAACAGAAGACTACAATTTTAAAGAGCAGTCTTAGTCATCATAATACCCTAAACCTTGGTACGGAAGCGCTCTCCCCCGAACACGAAACACATTGGACTTGGATGTTGACATCCAACAGCCTAACGATTTCTTGGAGGGGTCGGGTGCCCTGCATCCTGAAGATCCCACCCCCCTGCCCGCAGAGAGCCCCTGAACCACAACAGGGTGAAGGCAAAGGGCCATCCTGATAGTTGTGGTGCTTGCTGCTTTTGCCAGTGGTTTTTGTGGTTCAGGCTACTATAAACGATCTGCAGCACAAGCAAGTCTGTATCCCTCTCTCATCCCTTCAAGCGATCTCAACTTGCCCATCGTTTCACGCAGGCCTTCAACCGCACCCATGTGAGAAGTCTCCGACCCTAAACCCTACATCCTAAACCCTAAACTACCCTAAACACTAAACACTAAACCCTAAACCCCGAAGGACGTGCCTGCCACCCTCCAGATGCCGCCGTGGCCTGCGCCCCATTGAACGGCGGGATCCATGTGGTCCTTCTATGCTCGGATGATGCATCAACACCAGGCATGGTGCGAAGCACGTTCTTGGACCATCTTTTTATGCAATATTCTGTAAGAAAGACCTTTACAGCCGTGTCATTCAAGCCGACCAAAGGGGGCCCAAGGGGTTCCAGTCATTGATTGTTGTCCAACTATAATACATCAAGGACTAACAGTAAAGAATTCAACAGTTAATAATGAACCATTAGAAGAACTTTCATTTAGAAATCAATTCGGAGCAGAAACACTAAAGGGGCCCAATTCCGGCAAAGCGTCATAGACCTCGAGGAGGCCCCCGGATCGGACGTCGGAGACGCGAACCTGAAAATGGGTGTTTTGCAGGGGTTTTGGGTTTAGGGAGTGGTTTGGGAATTAGGGGTTTAGGGGTTTTGGGTTCAGGAGTTTAGGGCTTTAGCAAGTTAGGGCCTCAGGAAAAAAGGGAGGGGCCGGTCGTCACCTAGCAGGGCAGGGACATGTCAGTGGCCCTGCCTGGAGCACCAGCAGCAACTTCCCACTGATGCTTCCCAGAAGCTGTCACTCAACATGCCATACTATACCCGAAGCCCTAGGGCAACCTCACCCTGGATTCTCAACGAAGATGCCATCAAGTTTCCCCTCCCTCTGAGTATATACAACCTTTGGGTTGAATATGTAGAACGACCACGCATCTTCAAGACTGGTTTTCTCCATCATCGCTCGGCTGCTGTGTTTGTTTTTGCCTCTGTGCCTTGTTTCTACAGGCTTTACGATACATTGGAAGCGTCATCGGGCATACAGCTGACCACCAGTACGAGGTGGAATTACACCGTCATTGTTCCAAAAGCTCGCGATTATGCCAGAAGCATGCGGGCAGGAATGGGTAGCAACTTGTACCCTTCAAGTCTTGAAGAACCCCCCTTGCACAGCTTCTTGACTATTCATTGGACAAACGCCACCCACTGTCACGCCTACTTTCTGAGTTCGAATGCATCTTGTTGGTTTTAAATGAATGCATTCTCATGTTAGCTGATCTTGGACAATCTTGGACAATTCGTAGGATTTAGATCAAACTGGATTGGCGGAGAATCTTAGACCAAATGCCAAAAACCAAAAACGAAACCCATTACGCACGCGAGTGCAGAGCTTCTGCTGTTTAAGTCGAATAGCTACGGCATCCGCAGCCTCCCATGCCAAGGGCATGAGGCTAGTCCTCGACATTCAGGTGGGAGGGTTGTGTGTGTTACGGCTTCATTGACAAGTCCAGAAATCTACAGCCTCATTTAGTGCAGCGGGCCAGGTTAAGGGGCAGCCTTTTTGGTCAAGGCCACAAGGGCTTCTTTCGCATGTGGGAGTAAGGCGAAGCAGACTCATCTTGAGACATACCGATGTGCTCAGATATGCTGGCAACTATGTGAGAAAAGGCTGCTGACATGGGGGTGTACGAAAATGGGGGAACCTTATTGGCTTGTCATAAGGGGATCCTGCTATGTGGGGCTCTATTTTCGGGGCCCCTTACTATCGTAAACCCCCACATGGCATTTAATCTGTGGGTCAACGCCTCCCCGCCTTGCCACCAAGCGTCCTAGTCCTGTTTTCCCGGGATGAGGACCGGAGCCTCGCCAGGCCATCTTCGCTGGAAGCATTCCAGATATCGAATCCTGCCGCACGCGCGGGGTGTCACGAAAATCATGGCCAAGAACCCTAAACCCTAAACCCCAAACCCTCCCTAAACCCTAAAGCCTAAGACAAAGCTAAAGAGAACCCACAAAGCCAGAGTCCCCGCTAGAGATGGTTTAGAGTCCCAGAGCGTCGATGGGACTTCCAGTCACCAGTCCGAAGCCCACCGGCGCCAATACGTTAGGGTTTAAGGTTTAGGGGGTGGACAATGAAAAAAACATTGAGCCCCCAGTCATCGCCCCGAGCGGCGGATATTGTAGAAGACGAAAGGCAGTACCTACACACTCCCCTTAGAACCTTAACAACAATCACTATCTTTAATGCTTTTTGGGTGTTACATAAACAAAAATAAGAGAATACTATCTTTAATGCCCTCTTGGGTTTTATATAAACAAAAACAAGAAATCACTCCCAAGGGGGATATAGGTACGTTCCAGGCCACGCAGCGCCCCGCTTTCTGCAGCACCGGGCCGTGCCAGCCTGCATCCCGGGAGGTTTTACATTAGCAGCTTCCAGTTGAAGGTTTAGGGTTTAGGGTTGTAGGGTTGTAGGGTTTTAGGGGTTTTAGGGTTGTAGGGTTTTAGGGTTTTAGGGTTGTAGGGTTTTAGGTTTGAGGGTTTAGGGTTTTAAGGTTTAGGATTCTTACTTCCAACTAGGCGACTGGATGCTGCAGAACTTCCAAGGCAAGTGAACTGTGTCTGCTTCAGGAAAAAGTCGGGTGTCTCAATGCCTACACCTTGGCAAGGAGGCTTCTCTGCAAATTCTACAAGTTTGCCAGTCCCTGGGATGCCACAAGCTGCTACATTAGCTATCCTGGCTATGAAATGGCTAGCTATGCGTTGCGGAATGGAATCTCAATCTCTTGACACGGAACCCGCAACAAAAGACACGTATTTCACAGCATACTTCAAAATTATTGCATGTAATTCTATATAATACTGTCCATTACTATATCAGGCGTCAACGTACTATTCTAGAAAGCAAATATAGCACCAAAGAATACAAGCTACCCTGACATAACGTTAGTGCCCTTCGGGAAACCCTAAACCCTAAACCCTTGACCCTTAGCCCTTAACCCTAAGCCCTTCAGGCCTCTAGCCCGCCAAATTGGACGCTCTGCCATGTCCGATACCTGCACGACTGCATCGAAGGCCAGCCGGACTTGGAGCACCTGATACCGACCTGGGTTTAGGGTTTCGGGTTGGGGGTAGGGTTTAGGGCTTGGGGTTTGGGGTTGGGGAGCACGACCTGGAGACCTAGTCGAAAGCAAAGGGCGAACATGGACAAACATGGACCTTGAGCAACAACACGGATAGTGAACTGTCCTGCTGGCAGCCCCATGTAAGCAGATACCCTAAACCCTAAACCCTAAACCCTAAACCCTAAATCCCAAACCCTGAACCCTAAACCCTAAAGCCGAAACCCTAAACCCCCTTCCGGGGATCCCAGCTGATGAAGATGTCCTCGCTCTGCCAATGGCCTGCGGGCCGGGTGAGCTATCGCAAAGAGGGGCCTGCAAGAGCACCAGCAAAGAAGTTTCGGCGAAGTTCAGCCAAGCCCTGCAACGCACGACGCCGTGTTAAAGGGAGGAGCTTAGGTCTATGTGCCGCTGCTAACTGCTAACTTCAAGAATACGCACACTGGTGAAGAACAGGCCAAGAAGGTTCCTGATAGTGCCGGCGACGAATGACACGGCTGCTCTTGTTGCACCACGCAGCCCTCTCCATTGCACCCCGACGCTTTCAACGACGTGCGCCCTGAATCAAGGGTGAGTTGCGATTTGCCTGGGCCCACCTGTTCCAGTGGGAAGTGGACCTGCACAAAGAAAAATGCAAGCCATGAAGAGATGTTATGGCAAGATTGTATGCAGGACACTCCGGAAGGCTCATGCATCATGTCCTACAGTCCGCGTTCTGTGCTTCCGAACCCTGCTTCGGGAAGTTCTGCAGATTGGGAAAGAACGCACCCCGAAGCCTACAGTCCATGTACTGCGAGAATGGAGAGTAAACACTACCTACTTGCAAGTTGTAGACCCAGACCAAGTCGGATAGAATGCATAGCAAAGTGCTGAGTAATCAGGGCACAATGTGCGGATGCTGCCATAGGTCCTAAACGGGGCAAGATCGGCTGACCTAGCGCATGAACTGTGAACGGCTAAAGGAGAAGAAGCCTTTGCGAGGCAGCCTACACCCTAAACCCTAAACCCTATTCAGACATCCCAACGAAGCTTCCAAGCCGCCGCGCCTGCTCAGGTTCGGAGAAGACCGCCTCACTTTCGCACAGCTCCATGGTTTCCTGCGCTGGACTGGATTGCGAATCTCGTTCTCCATCATTCAAGAAGCGGGCTCTGTCTAGCAGTCCCTCTACGCTTGGTAGGGTTCTGTGCATCGTGTGGCTTGCCTAGCAGGGCCATCCCTCCTCCCCCTCCCTCCGGATGGCCCCGCCTTCATGTCCGAAGAGCTCACAGCTGCCTGTCCTTCAGGCAAGTAACACCTAACAGCAGAGCGGCAGAAGTCAAAGCATGCGCTAAAGAGTCACGCGTCACGAGGAGCTGCCTATTGTGCAAAGTGGGTGTCTGCAATCTGCACAGCCCCGGTTGAACATTCTTGGCATGAGGCTCGACGAACTGCCAGGATTTTACCTCAGGCCAGATTCTGACCGTGGATACACGGGGAAAGCAGGAATCAAGCTGAAAGGGTGCACGCTGCAATCCTTCGCCACATACCAACAAGAAGATCTCTTGAGGGTTAGCTGCGTAAGAGGGAGTGGAGGGTGGGATCGAACACACGCTGAAGCTTCAATGTTGAAAGTCGCCACATGCAAGGTGTGCATGTCGGGATGCGGAGGCATACGACCATTTGCTGCGCGTGCTGTTCTCCACATCGCTGAGACAGCCCGCTTGGCGTTGCCCTCTCATGAACCACCCATTGCCTGACAATGCACTAGCAGCAAGGACTGCGTTCTCGCAAGGCAGGGATAAACAAGTGGGCTCATAAGGGAACCTAAACCCTAAACAAAGGGAGTAAGGGGCCTACTCGGGGTCGTAGTATATAGATGTAACAGCTCAACTGGTCCGGCGTTCATAGCCAGGTATCAAAGCCCTCGCTGCCGTCGAAGGGCCCCTTTGCGCATAACTGCCGCTGATTGTCTCGCGGCCCCGCAAAGTTGTGCACACTTGAAACACAATGAGAATATCCTAGCAGTCAAACTTGAGTGTCTTCCAGGGATGTTCCTGCACATGCGGGGTCCAAAATCATCCGAATAAAAAAGCCCTGCAAATCGACACGTGTCAGGAGAGTCGCAGCCATCAGACACCCAGATGTACTCTGAGTTGGAGCACCTAGGCATTTGCGGCCTTCTCTGCAACATCAGGCAACCCTAAACCCTAATCTAAGGGAAGTTACATGGGCCCTCAATATGGTCCCTTACCTCCGGGTTCTGAAATATGAGCCCTTGGGTTAGGGTATATAACGGGTGGATATGCGGTCCCCGCTCAAGGGCGCATACTAAGGGACCATGTAACTACTCTAAGACCTAAACTCCGAAACCCTATCGACCCTATCTGCCGGCCCTGCGCCCGAAAGTCAGCCCCTGGCGGCAGCGCGCGGGTTCCGCAGCAAATCTGGCAGTTGGGTTTAGGGTTTAGGGTTTAGGAAGGGGTGGTAAGGACTTGCATGCAGGAGATTTGCTTGCTCTGATGTGTTTGTATGCTTATCCCGCTTGCCACTTGTGTTTGCTGTTGTTTTTTCTGTCTATTTTTTTGGGTTTGGCTCGCTTCTTGTTTTGTCATTTATTTATCTTTTTGCGTGTGTGTCGGTGATATATTTTTCTTTTTTTGGCGGGGAGGGGGCATGGTGTGGCGCCATCTTGGTGCGCGCACGAACGCATGCTGGATATGGATACTGGAGAACAGAGGAAAGGTCCGAATCATTAAAACGAAACATCGCGTCACTTCCATGATCAGGTCTCGTGCAACCACTACCCAGCCTTCGACAGGCAACAGACAATACATGATCACTCCGGTTTTGGAGTGTTTAACCTGAGTTCTCAACCCAGACCGATTGTTAAACGTTCAGGTCCTGTGTCCACCATTACTTGAGTACACTTCCGACACTTCGTGAACGCACTTGCGTCAGGATGCTAGATGGACGCGAGCTGAATGAGCAGTACCATGCGGAAGTTGCAAGCCCCAGGGGAGTTCTGACATTCAGAGATCAGAGTGACGATGGGAACCAAAATCAAGAGACTCATTAGATGGCTAGAGTATAGACAGAATAGACGTTCACGCAGAGTCGTACCGGAGTATCATCTGTTGACACTTGGGGGTTAACGGGCCCCTAGTAGAGTCCCCCAAACACTGGCATTCACGTAGAAGCAGGATCCCCCAAAACAGTCCCACTAATTTCGAAAACCCCAAGCCCTAAACCCTAAACCCTAAACCCCAACCCTAAACCCTAAACCCTAAACCCCAAACCCTAAACCTTAAACCCTAAACCCTAAACCATCAGAAGCCGGCGAACTTCACAGCGCCTCAGAGTCAAAGAGCACTCAATCGGCTCCGGAAAGGGGAAGGGAACAGGCCTCCGCGAACGTGGCCCAAATTCGAGGGGGTTTCGGGGTTTAGGGCTTTCGTAAGGGAAGACGCACTTGGTGAGGCTTTTGCTCTTGAGATAGCTGTCCAACTCGCGAAGCTGCCGCGAGGACGTTGCAGGGATGCAAAAAACAACCATCATGTGTGCATCCGTGCGCATGGCGGCGGCTAGCTCCGTCCTGTGCGTGGGGCTGGCCGTCCGTACGCGCCGGAAGACCTTCGTTGCAATGGCTGCCCACAAGGCTTTAGGACTCAGGAGTGGCCCTTCAGAATATATAGCAGCTGCCTGGGTAAGCGAAGATGCAAACAACGACTTTATGGCAGTTCCTCACCCTCTGAAACAGGCTTCCTTCCCACAGTCCAGTGCGCAAACTTGCTGTACTCTACTATGGACAGCACACCGCGAAAAGTAAGCCGCCTCAAGTTTTGCCCTAGATGCCGATCGTCATGGAATACGTATCTGGCTTCGCCCTCGACACAGTACCATGTGCCCTCCGAACGCCAACAATCAAGACCCATCCCCAATCGCACCAGGAGGACAGCTCGCATACAAGAAGTTCTCTCAACAATTGGGTTCCCTTATAGGGGCTGTATGAAAGAACCCTTACACAACAAGACCTTTGTTTACCCCCCCCCCCCCCCCTTCAGAGTAAGCTTCGGGGTCCTAGGCACCGAGTTCCAGTGCATGAGAGCGGCCCGGATGGAGAAGGCTTCTCGGACCCTGATGCGGATGGCTTCGGGCTCACGGCTTCGGTTTTTTGGGGCTTTGAGGTGTTGGCTGACTTGCATGGCTGTGGGTTGGGGGCTTTCTATTTTAGGAAGGTGACTGCGAGGGGCACTCTCTCTTGAAACTTTCAGAAACGGACGAGGTTCCCCGAAGTATTCTAGAGCCCCATAAATAAGCGCCCTTCTGTCATCCTATTTGTCATCCTATTTGTCTAGACATGCCTGGGCATCCACGTCATCGTCTCCACCCTCCCTGCATACCTATAGCCGCGACACTATAGTACTGGGATGTTCTCAGGGACACAGCTCCACAGTGCGCAAGCGAGACAAGTGGCAGTTCAGGGTCTACGCCTCCGAGTTGTGATCTCTCAACTTGCAGCCGAAGGCACCCACGTAGCATCGCCCAGGGGAGGAGCAGCTCTTCACTCCGCCTCAGCATGAAGAGGGCCCGCAAGCACCTTAAACTTTGGGATGTTCATACTTATTCTAACAGTCCTTAATAGGGATTCTAAGTGGGGGTACTTTAATCCCCAGTAAGGACTGTTAGTAGAAGGGGGAACGTCCCAAACCCTAACCTCTAAACTTCCTAAAGGCCCGAAACAAGCGCAGGGCTGCTGCGAACTGATGGTACCCTAGAATTGGTGTAGGGTTTAGGGTTAGGGTTTAGGGCTTGGGGTTTCAGGTGAAGGCTTCCAACAGGCCCTAACGCCCCATACAATCCTGAAAAGCCACAAAATACATCTTAAAATATATGTTTTAAAAAATAAACCCTAAACCACCCTAAGCCCCCCCCTAAACCCTAAACCCTAAACCCTAAACCCTAAACCCTAAACCCTAAACCCTAAACCCTAAGCTCTAAGCTCTAAACCCTAAACCCATTACAGCCGGGCTCCAGGCCGGTCGCGGGCGAAGCCCCTGGAGGCCAGGGCCGCATCGAGCTCCCCGGCCAGGTCTTCGGGCTCCGACACCATTACGCCTGGACTTTTCTTTGCTGGGGTTTGGGGTTTAGGGTTTAGGGTTTAGGGTTTAGGGTTTAGGGTTTAGGGTTTGTCTTCCTACCTATGTTGCTATTGCTACTGCTTACACCTGGTTGTGGCTTCTGAGGTTCAGGCTCTGGACGGGGTGGAAGTTTCGTGGGTTCTCTAAGGCTTCGCCTAAAGCTCCAGAATCCTAAAGCCCCAGCAGCTGAAACCTCTTGTTCTACCAGAACCCTAAGGTTCTTAAGGTAGTTGCACTCTTGAACCTAAAGATTTCATACTTACGGGTCTTTTCTGACCCTCGCAAGGAGAGGTGACCGGTGTCGGACCAGATTGTGGGGGCTTAGGAGGGCTTTGATACGAGGATTCCCTTGGTCCCGTCGGTTCTTGTGAAGCTTCCGCGCTTGATGGGTTGCCACAGTCAGCCCTAGATGAGATCTTACACAAACTTGGGCTCGAAGCGACCTTAGCAAACCAATGAACCTGCAAGCGGCGGTTGCTAAAAAGGTCCTTTAAAATGCACGGACCATGGGACACAGGGACGTCCCTGATTGCAAAGCTGCAGCCACTCTGTGCCCACCTTCGGCTGCAATTGCATCAAGATTTGCGACCAGGCGCTGGCGACCTCTTCAGGGAACATCATGGCTTACAATGGGTTTAGGGTGAACAAAAACTCTACACCCAAAACCCTTAACTTTAGGGCTTACAAGTAGGACTTATGATGACTTCTCAGGCGCAGGTCCTCGATCTCCTCGAGGCCTAGTGCCCCGCGACTCATGCCCAGCCTCGCGCAGGAATGCGGTGCACCACGTCCAGCAAGAGCGCCTCTATGGCCAGCACAGGACGGAACTCATGATAGAAACCAGACTCATGGGCATCTTGGGTCACACAAATTCAGAAGCCCGACAGGTCTTCAGCAACCCGTAGCCCTAAACCCCAAACCCTAAACCCGTGCAGCCTCAGACTACAGATGCTATGTGCTTTGTGCCACCATGGTCATGCTTAAGCTTCTGTCTGATCATGTTCATCTTTTCAAAGACAATAACCTCATCCCGAGAACTTGGCCAGTATACCCTGGGCTGAGGAAGCCATTGGGGTTTTCACGATGGTTACCAGTGTTCCTTGTCATCAACAATACTATTCCGAGACTTGCCCCATTAAGCCTTGGCCTACGGCCCATAAGTCCCGAACCGCCAAGTAGTCCGAAACCACGAGATGCCCCCAAGCCCTGTATAGACCCTAAACCCCTAAGCCCCGAAACCCGTCAACCCCTAAACTCCTAAAACCCCTAAACCCCTAAGCCCCTAAATCACCCCTAAACCCCTAGACCCCTAAACCCCTGAACCCCTAAACCCCTTAACCCCTGAACCCTAAACTCCTAGTCCCAGGAGCCCAGTCAGCGCGACCAGCCCATGCGAGCCGCCCATGGTCACTGGCATTCCGGCGGGCCAGCCAAATCATGTCGGATAGCCTCGGAGGCCCTAAGCCCTCTGTACCGCATCAGAAAAAAATATATATATATATATGTATATGTATGAATGTCATCTGAAACACATAAAATAAATGAGCATGTAGAAATGTGTATATACAGTGTATATCTGTATATATATACATATATATACGTCTGCAGAGACTCGCACACACGCACACGCATGTAATCATACCCATCGACACCTCCACTCCCCACCGCAAAACCTTCAACTGCCCAGGACAACTTCCACAAGCACTCCCTCTTTCAAGTGGCCCGGCTGACTGCTCGGCATCCAGTGGTGCAAGGCCGGCACCTTTTCCACGAGCGATGGGGATTCAGGGTTTAGGGCTTAGGTTATAAGGGTATGAAGTGTTGAGCCTACATGTGCTGCTACAACTGCAGGACACAATGGTCAGAGATGTTAGCTGAGACGCACGTGACAAACCAATGGGAATCCCTTTCCCCTCATGTCAACAAACTGGAGTTTGTGCTGTAATGATGCCATTCAGGGAAAGATGGGAAAGGAGTCATGGTTTTCGATTGATGTAGGTTTTCTCTTGGATGACCACATCCTTACTTGTACTTGGATGCCGCCTGGAGTTCCAGATGCTGTTCGTAGAACTTCGGTGGTAAGCTTATCCGGGGGAGGCACTTGTCCCGGGTGTGTTAGGGCGATTCAGCAGCGCTCTCAGAAGGCCCCAACCCACCGTCATTCCAACGAAACAGGTACTTTTCGAGACATGCTGCTGATGCTCAATCCCACGCACCGCGACTGAAGGCAGCAGTTCAGCACACGCCTCAAACAAGAATGTCAGAGGAGGATGAGGGGTAGGCATCGGGGGGGAGGTGAGGCGAGCTGGCAAGTTCAGAAAGCTGCTCCAACCAAGTTGCGAAGTTGAAAGGACCCCTCTGCTAACTGCCGAGCATCCGGAAGGCTTCGTTAACGTCGATGCCTTCTTCTTGTGCTCCCTGGACATCCGCTGAGGGCGAGAAGGGGTCAGGATCAGGATTCCAGGATTTCGGGCTGGAAGGACCGGGTAAGTTGCCCCTGCATGGAAGACGTTGGCATTGCGTACTTTGAGCATTCGTCTCTTGGGCTCTCTCCGCCGTCCTTCCCAAGTCTGAAATCCCTGGTACATTCTTCTTCCTACTGCCTAGCATGCTTGTTCATCAGATCAAGCAGCGCCAGCAAACATGCTGACTCCTCGGGGGATGCGTGCCATCACATGCAATGTCAGCGGCACAACCACGGGAGCTGCACGATGTTGATTCCAGACGCTGCTGCACGAGCTACTACAATCCCTGTGTCCCCTTCAGTCCCCTTGAGTCCCCTTCAGCCCCCTTCAGCCCCCTTCAGTCCATCCGAAGCCCAAGTGCAAGCTCTAAGACTGAAAGACTGCAGCACAAACCACCTCGACAAGGCGAGCCAGATCCTTGTCACCAAAGAAGAACGTGCAGGCCCGGGTGGAGGTCAGAATCCTGGACGATGGTAGGCCAGGGTTGGGGGTTTTGCTGATGGCGGTTGTACTCCCTGGTAGCCAAGCCAATCTGAAATTTCGGTATCGTTCCCGCGCGAGCCTTCACATCCTTCAAATCCCTTACCTCCTAATAGCCTTCGGCCCCTGGGTTAGGGGTGCTGTCTTAGTCTTCACATCAGGGTTGGCCTATGCTGGGGTCGCCTGGAAAGCAACTTTTACAATGACAACTCCAATAAAAAGCAGCTCCCGACAGGATCCACATTTTCAACAAGTTCCAAGTTGCTGGACCACGGATCACATTTTGCGGCGGTGTTTGGCTAACTCTGTTCAGGTTTTTCAAGGTTTTGGGCCGAGGGGGGTTGGGGGGTGCGGGGCTGGGGAGCGGTGGGTGAGGGGCGGGGGGTGGGGGGCTTTTGTGCATCATACGGCCCAACGATGCTTCATGCTGCTGGAGCAGAAATCGCTGTCGCCAGCGTCCATCCCTATTGCCATGCCCAATGCTTAACGTGTCCGTGGTGGCCCACATCCATGCCACATGCAATCATGCTAGAACACTGGCAGTCACTGGCACAGCCACGATGTTGTCGCGCTTGTGCAACCTACAGACCTACACTCGAGGCCCCGTAACCCACGACCCGAAACATCTATGGCAAACTTCTTCTGATGCGCACCCATGCAGAAGCCGCTTTGAAAGTAGCTCCAGACTTAAGAAAACGACTTTCGTACCAACTGCACAAAGGTCCGCATTTCAGCTTCGGACTTCGGGGCTCGGAACGACATTGTCACTGGCAACTCCCCCCTCCCCCTCCCCCCAAGAATCTGAAACGAAGGTCCTGGGATTCATGACTTCCGTGAGGTCGAGCTCGAGGAGGTCACTACCCAAAAGTGGGCGAAGTCCTTGGAATCAGGGATCGCCGCACCAGTTGCATCAGGAGGTGTTAGGGTTGAGGGTTTAGGGTTTAGGGTCTAGGGTTTGGCGTTTAGGGTTTAGGGTTTAGGGTGTTGAAAGTAGCCTCACCCCTGGATTTCTTTGCAGCTGCTTTGACCCTGAAGCCTGCAAGGAATCAGTTCGGACTCCGAGAGTCCCAACATCCTTCAGATGGAGATACCAGGGTTTTGAACTGAACAAGAAGAAAGTCCAGAGATGAGGTCTACACTTGGAACATGGTGTTTTCCTAACTTGAGGTACTTTTTGGAGTCCTTATTACAAGGGAATCTATTCTAGGGGTCCCTATTTTCGTAAACCATCGTTTGGCTCCCGTATAGTCCTTCCTTCCTTCCGGCGTGGCGGTTTACCGAGTCCGAGGGTGAGTCGACTTCCTCGAGCTTCACTGGGAACCACCCTAAAGCACTCGAGAACGTCAACTCATGCCTGCCCAGGGTCTAGGGCTTCAGGGCTCGGGCTTCGGGTTTAGGGCTTCGGGTTTAGGGCTTAGGCCCCCAAGTCAGTTCCCAGTTCGGCTGTCTGTGGGTGCGGATCATTGGCCTGGGAGTGCCTACCTGCTCCCCTGTTGGACCATTCTGCACACTGGAGTCACTAGAATAACGATTCACCTAGACTAAAGATGTGGCTTCTGGTCCCTAAAACCCCAAAACCCCAAGATCCCAAAACCCCAAGACCCCAAAACCTTAAAACCCAAAAACCCAAGAACCCTAAAACCCTAGAACCCTAAAACCCTAAAACCCTAAAAGCCTAAAACCCTAAAGCCCTTAAGCTGAGAGAACCAGACGACAGCAGAACGAAAGAACACACGGACATGAGGCCATGTCTTCATGAGCCATGCTGTTCCCCAAATGCAAGCCCGGCCTAAACCTAGGGCTTGTTCGGGGTCGGGAGAAGAACGATCGGCAGCGACAAGCAGAAGTTTCAAGATGGCGAGATGATTCTGGAGTGCACTTCGCATCTGGACCAGGACATACACACCCCATATCCCGTTTGTGTGCTCATCTCGATCAGCAAGGGCTGCTAGCACGCATTGAAGACACGAGCACCAGCAGCATGTGAAAGGGCTTATGCCAAGTGCATTTCTCCAAAACCATTTTAAGCTGTGCTTGTGTTTCAGCCTATCCTCCGCACAATGTCTTTTGCCAGTGCCTATCCAACCCTGGAAACTGTCACCTGCCGGCGGTTAGGCAGAGGCTCCTGGCATCTTGTCTACACCGACGATGCTTGCAGGGTAGTACCTGGCCAGCTGCTGTCTTGTCGGGACTCTTATGAGGCTCTCCCCCCCCGAGGCTACCGGAGCTTTCGAGATCATATTGGTACCCCCGCCTTCCTGGCCGAATATGGAAGTATCTGGCATTGTTGCACTATTGACCCGGCCCCCCGAGGGAAACCAGGGGCCTTGCAACTTGCAAAATGTTCGGGGGTGGATCGCGTAAAACCTCAGCCCATGACCCCTCCTTACAATCCTCTCGTGGGGCGAACGAGCTTTCTCGCTAATGTCGGGACTTGACGAGATCTTCTGTCGGGGGCCCTGTTCCATTCCAGCGGAGGAGCTGGAGCCAACGCTCTATCATCGAGGCTCGGCCGCAGCCCAGATCCACCCTTTGAGGGTCATGGGGAACTGAGGGGACCACAATCACAACAAGGCCCCTGGTACATGACCCAAACATCGATACCTAGTTTAGGGTTTAGGGTTTAGGGTTGGTCTACAATCTGCAGAAGACCAGATCCAGCGAAACTTGCCGCCTCGCCACACCTTGACCGGGCGGCCCATCCTCGCAAACTCTGCGAACCAGTAGTGAAGGAGCCTTAAGCTTCGGCTGGGCTGAGCTTAGCCTTTGAGGCTTGTCATGACCTGGTACCCCAAGGGTTTAGGGTTTAGGGTTTAGGCCCCCTTGTCAGCTTCAACCTGCAAGCCTAACAAGGCGGCGATTCACGATCTCCAGAATGCCTGCCCCAGCCAAGATCCATGTCAGCGAAGCACACTTATGCCTGTAAACCGTACACGAAGCTCAAACCTCAATCCTAGGACTGCCATCCTCCCTCCGGTAGAAAGCCTGGATCGGACTGCTACCCGCAACAACTCTCGTCTCATTCTCATTGAGGGGCCGCGCCGCAAGGAGCGGGTCGTGCCTGAAGAAGCCCGACAGACTGCTGTAGGGCAAAGATGACCTGAGCGCAGGATGATCAGGAGACTTGCCCTGAAATCCAGTGACAAACCCCTTCTGACGTCAGCCACCGCCGGCACACCGGTACTTTGCTCTGACGGCCAGGGTCTGCGGATGTCTACAGTCTACATGGCTCAGCTTCAATTTCAACAGGGTTTGAAGGCTTCAAGAGGTAGGGGCCCAGTTGTAGGATGATCGTGTGCATTGTCGAGAACAGGGTGCCCTACTCCTGCGCCCCAAAGGAAGCATTCCTCATGCAACTTTCCTTCCGCTCTTTGTGGATGTAGTCACGGCGTTGGTCAGGTCAACTTGCTTGAGCTTGAGACTTGACATACTGGTGGTCTGGAGGGACTGCTGTGTTTACCACGAGGCATTCCGTGCACAGGGAGATCGATCTGACAAGTCGCTTGGCAGCCCCTCCCCGACAACTGTACATATGGATGAGTGGTGTCACTGCACAGTGTCCGGTATCCGAGGGTCAGCAGCTCCGACTCTATGTCACCCATGAGTGCCCATATATATATATATATATATCGATATACATTAATATAGATATATATATATATATGTATATCCGGGAGTACGGGCCGCAGATCCTGCGATGACACGACTCGGGGACTCGCCGGTCACATGGTCAGTTCTCACACATCTGGCCCCTTTGTTGGGTACCCTAAATCTTCGGGCCACCTTATAATGGCAACCTGACCATACTTTGGAGAAGTGCCATATGGCTGGCGGCACCGTTTTCTGTGCGTCACACACGCCTGCTCAGACGTCATCGGAGTAAAAATATCTATTGATATCGAGCTCAGGTTCCTGCACTTTCTGCGATCACGAAAGCCCGAAAACCGCACATCGCATGCAAGGCTGCTTGCATGCTGAGGAGCGACACCTTAATACTCTTCCGGGGTTAAAGTCCCCGTGCTTCGTTTTT